AGTGCTGGGATTAGAGGCGTGAGCCACCGCGCCCGGCCTATAAAGTTTTTTCTTAACAATAAATCTCTTCCATGTCAATGTCTACAGTTTTTTTTTTTTAACATTAATTTCTTTCTGCATTTCAGTATTAGATACACTGAATACATTTTTCTAAACGCTTTTTCCCCAGAGATAAACGTTTCCCTTTTCGGCTAACTCTCTGATATCTGAATAAATATTAACTTGAATGACAACGAAAGAAAAATCTAATAAAAAGATGGAGAAAAGACTCCTGAACGGTTCAGGAGGCAGCGAATATGACCGGACGGTGGTGATTTCCTAAGACTCTCGGCAAGGACTTCCTTCTTCCTGTTTCACGGGCTTTGAGGATTCTAGAACTATGAAATATCACTTATGTAAAGTGCAGCCTCCTTCCTAACTAGCAAATACAAATTGTAGGCTGCATTTTTCTGTGCATTATTTGTTGCAAAGATACATTTTTTTTTCCAATTTATATATGTATGTTTGTTCCCATTTCATGGAAACACCAAAAAATGTAAAAATCCCTTATTTCCTGCATCTTGGAAACCTCCAGACACCGAAGCTCAGGCTTAGCCTCTATCGCACAAAGGTTGGAAAGGGTGAGGTTCGATTCAGTAGCCTTTCAGAGTCGTATCTGTTCATTTCTTTTTCGTGCAGACACCCCCAGGCAGGCACAGATGCCTGTGACGCTGAGAATACACCTAACGAGGGCGACGTCACCAGCTTCTTCTGCTTCGACAACGGGCAGCACCAAAACCAGTGACCTGAGGACCAAGGACAACTGTGTTGAAACTGAGGTCGTGACGTTGGAATCTTGCGGGCTGAAGGTTCCAAAGAAACGGCATATATAGAATTCCACCTGACTTGAAATTTTCCCTTCCCGGAGCTCCGGATGCTGAAATTAAGAGGTTCCATGTGACACTACCCTTCAGGAAGCAGCCATTACAGGAATTACCAGAATCCAAAGTCTTTCTTATCACAATCCTGGCTTGAAATGAGTGGGGTTTCTAATTTTTCCTCCCTGATCCTGCCTGCATCTTGATTCTGAGACCCCCTCCCATCCCACCCTCTCCAACGGCAGAGACCCCTCCCATTAGCACTGCTACCTAGACCTGTCCTTGACATGGGCAAGAAGCTTGGGGAAAAAGACAATTTTCCTGCTTGTCTTTTCTTGTCAAAATACATGGGCATGCCAGGGGAAGGCCAGGAATTCTCTCACCAGCCAGCAGCAGCAACTCAGCAGCTACGGACACGGAGGGCAGGGGTCAGGGGAATGACTGGCCGTGGAGGAGCCGAGGGAGCCGGGACCCCTGGGAGCCCCTGCAGAGGCGGTCTGGCTGGGCAGATGGTCCCTGTGCTGGGGCCTCCGGGTAGAAGGCATCCCGAAGCCCTGGTTTCATGGGCACATCCAGCCCCCTGAGGGAAAGAGTCTGGTCTTAGATACATTTTTGAAAAGTATTTAATTCTCTAAAAACATTTTTAAAAGAAGTAAGACCCACCAGGGAAAGGGAGCTGCTGGCTGCCAGGTGCCTCTCCTTTTCTCCTAAGAAAGACCTGGTAGGCACACTGCCAGGGAGACAACCGGGGGCTAGAAAGGCAGCCTGGGCCGGCGCGGGGGCTCAGCCTGTAATCCCAGCACTTTGGGAGGCTGAGGCGGGTGGATCACCTGAGGTCGGGTGTTTGAGACCAGCCTGACCAACATGAAGAAACTCTTTCTCTACTAAAAATACAAAATTAGCCGGGCATGGTGGTGCATGCCTGTAATCCCAGCTACTCAGGAGGCTGAAGCAGGAGAATTACTTGAACACGGGAGGCGGAGGTTGTGATGAGCTGAGATGGTGCCATTGCACTCCAGCCTGGGCAGCAAGAGTGAAACTCTGTCTCAAAAAAAAAAAAAAAAAAAAAAAAAAAAAAAGCCAGGCCCTGGACACTCATGGGGGCCATCTTGCCTGCTGGGCCCGGCGCCTGTGGGTTGGGCAGCCCCTCAGCGCCGACACTCCAGCACCCATCTGGACAAATCCCTCGTCCTTGATGATGGCCCTGTGAAGGCCTGGGAACTTGTGGCTTGTTCCTGGAGCTGCTGCAGGCACAGCAGCTCTGACTTGCTGCTTGGGTGGAGGGTGGCTGGGGGTGTTGGGGCCCGCCGAACGCTCTGGGAACACTCCAGGGGCTGCGCCCAGCAAGTTCATGAAACAGGGAGGCTGGCCTCAAGCTGCAGGGGGCTGCCTCCTGAGTCCTCCTAGGATTCTGCCATCACGGGGCGTGTGCGCATCTACACAGGTCCTGACCCCAGAATCTCCAGCCCTCCCATGTGCTCCCCCATCCAGCCCTAAGTTGGTGGGAGGAACACAAGGCACTGGCCAGCTGAGTCCAGGCTGACTTCGGGGGAAGATGCAGGAACACAGTGCCGCCAGGACGCTGAGCTGGTGCCCACCTGCTGACTTGTGCTCCCTGCCACCCCCTCATGGGTGGGCAGACACTGGCAGTACGGTCAAGGGGGCTCCACACACACTTACTGGGTCTGGAGGATGCTGCCCCTGACTATTTTGGGGACCACTCAATACTGGCAGTCTCACCACGGCCCAGGGAGGCCCTCAGCCCCGTCCACCTAGTTCTAGGCCACCCCACCGTAGCCCCATGGCTGGAACCCAGGCTGCTACAGTACTGGAGGTGCACTCTGGCTCGGAGGCCCCCTGGGCATGAAAAGGGGCTGTGTGTGCAGCACACGGACTGTCTCCCTCCTCCGTCCTGGCAGCAGGTGGCTTCTCTGGACAGAACGTGGCCTACCCACAGCAACCGGACTCCGTCTTCCCCCGCAAAGCCCCGGCTGCAGAAAGAGCTTGGGGCAGGGGTCACACAAGGGGGCTGCTGAAAAAGCTCCTGGTGAAGCTGAGGAGCCACAGGCTGTCGGCAGGGCCACGGGGGCCATGGGGCTGGTCTGTCGGGCTCCCAGGCAGTGTGTGCTGCCATGGCCTCACCCTCCTCACTGGGCATCACTGGGGAGGGCCATCCCAGCCGGGGACACGAAGCGGGGGTCTAGTACGTGAGCCAGTGTGGCAGCTTACACGACGGAGTAAGATGGTGTGTCCTGCCCCTTCATTTTTGCCGACTCGTATGAGACTCTGAGGATTCGGGGTTCAGAACTCCGGAGCTGTTAGATGTGGCGGTTCATGAAAAAAGTGCATCTCGGGTGCTTGTTTTAAAATAATTTTAAAATTTAAAAATGATAAAGACTATACATTTAGGGTTTTTTTGTTTTTTTTTGAGATGGGAGTTTTACTCTTGCTGCCCAGGCTGGAGTGCAATGACACGATCTTGGCTCACCGCAACCTCCGCCTCCCGGGTTCAAGCGATTCTCCTGCCTCAGCCTCCCGAGTAGCTGGGACTACAGGCATGCGCCACCATGCCCAGCTAATTTTCTATTTTTAGTAGAGACGGGGTTTCTCCATATTGGCCAGGCTGGTTCGAACTCCCAACCCCAAGTGATATGCCCACCTCAGCCACTGCGCCTGGCCAGGCTTTATTTAATGCAGAGTTGCACTGTTGCCCAGGGTGCAGTGGTGCGATCTCTGCTCACTGCAACCTCCACATCCCGAGTGCAGGTAATTATCTTGCCTCAGCCTCCTGAGTAGCTGGGATTACAGGCATGTACCACCGTGCCCAGCTGACTTTTGTATGTTTAGTACAGACAGGATTTCACCATACTGGCCAGGCGAATGGTCTTGAACTCCTGACCTCTAGTGGTCTGCCCACCGCGGCCTCTCCAAGTGCTGGCATTACAGGCATGAGCCACAGTGTGCAGCCTCTGTGTGCTTCTGACAGCCGCACTGGCCTGGCCCGGCAGCCTTCCTCTCTGGTGTCCTCCCTAAAGCCACATTCATCATTTCCTGCCACCTGGGGTGGCCGTGAACTGCAGCCCAACCCTGCCTGGCGCAGCTCTGAGAAATCAAGCCCTCTTGAGGAACAGGAGCCTGGGGGTCAGGTAACTAGCGCTACTTCCTTTCACAACAGACAAGGGTTGCTGACCCAGCTCTCCTTTCTCCCAGGCCAGGCAGGCACAGAACGTCCCCAGGGCCGTAGGATATGCACTTTGACGTACTCATCCATCTTTGTCATGTGTTCTACCCGACATGCCCACATTTGTCCCAGCCAGTCCTTTCTTTGTTCTGGAATAGCTGGGAATGTGGTTGGAAGGACTGGGAGCCAACTTGCCAGCTTCCACGGAGTGACTTCCAGCTGGCCTGTGGCTGGTGTGGCTCATGTGCACACAGCTGCTGTGGTCTTTCCCTCCCTGCATGGCACCTCCGGATGGTCACGGGGTCAGCCACGCTCCCAACAATGCAATACATGAAGAGGGGTTAGGGAGAGAGCTGGAGCATGCCTGGGAAGCTTCTTACAGCAAAGAGAGAGGAGCTGGCCAGGACTGTTCCCTGTGATCTCCTGGGGACAATTTCAGGCTATGGAGTGACCCTACGCACTGAATGAACCTGAGGTTGTTGAGGCACCTGGAAGGTTTGGGAGAGGAAGCTGCAGCCTCCATGCCACGGGCTCCTGGGTCAGCTGTGCTGCAGGACAGAGCCGGGCAGGGCTGGAAGGAGGCCTGCAGGACAGAGCCGGGCAGGGCTGGAAGGAGGGCTGCAGGACAGAGCCGGGCAGGGCTGGAAGGAGGGCTGCAGGACAGAGCCGGGCAGGGCTGGAAGGAGGGCTGCCGGGGCCACAGCACAACCCTGACTTGGACTGTGTCCCATTCAAAGAGCTCACTCCTCTTCCAGAGGGCGCGGGGCTTCGTCTGAAGGGGGGATGCCTCAGACACTTAGAACGGTGACAGCAGTTGGTGGCTGAGCCAGGATATTACCGAGGACTAAACAAAGCACACACTTAACAAAACCGAGTTCACTGAACAGACTTGCACACACCCAGGCGCACCTTGTGCCTCCACCACCCACCTGAAACACACGGTAAGATGACTGAAGAAACAGTTTCTTTGAAAAACTTTTATTTCACGTAAAACAGACCCATCCCCTTGTGGGTCAGATGTTACCACCTTAAAAAAATTTTTTTTTACTCTCCTTTCTGTCCCACTGAAAAACTTCTTCTTTTGAAAGGGTTAAGAAGAGTCTATCATTGCTGGTCAGTATCTGTGGAGGATGGTCGCTGAGGGAAAGGCCCGAAGGCAGCATCTGACCGGCCTGGAAGCCCCCAGGGTGTGGCATCCCCAAGCCCAGGGGCGGGAGCGCCTCCTGCCTGCCCTCCAGGGAAGCTGCATGTGGACCTCCAGGGACTCAGCCTCCAGATTATTCAGCCTCGAGCCTGGGATTGTGTGTGTGTGATATATGTGTATCCCTCCTGCTTCCCTGACTTCAAGAGAAGACCGAACTCTCAGGAAGAAGACCTGCCTGGAGCTGCACGCATTCTCAGTTTGAAAACGCTTCATGCGGTAAGTCACCAGAGTACTAAAGCCAACTGCACACTAGTGGTTACAAAATGGGAGCTTTAAAAAAGTGCTCTACAAGAACCGACGTCCTCGCAGTCAGGAGCAGAAGGCTGGGTGATGCTGCGCAAGCCTGAGGCTCTATGGCGCCTCTGCGAAGGCTCGGGTCCGCTTTCTAGACTGCAGGCTGTCGTGTGTGCTGTGGAGGGTGCCAGGGTTAAGGCTGACGAAGACCAGAAGGTGACGCTGGGCTCTGCTGCTATATCAGGCCACTTACAGAGGATCCCTAGGCCACACTCCTTCGGAGCCACTGTGCAGACAGCTTCCCTGTGGGGAGGGTCAGCAGGAGCCACAAGGGCTGAGGGCGCCTCTGCTGGGGCGGGTCGGTTTTGTGGCATTCGAGAGGAGGGCTCCGGGAAGGACCACGCAGGCAGTGAAGGTCCTTCCCCACGTCCAATTTTATGGGAAGACTGGGTTTGAAGATGGAATCTTCTAGAACGCTCTTCTCTTCGTTTTTAAGTAAAGAGAAAAGGGAGACCTTTGCCTCATGTGAGAACAGGAGGTGGAAAAGTCAGAGCTGTGGTGGCCACTGGCAGCGCACCTCCTGGATGTGCACGGGAGAAAGACACAGCTTCTGGACAGAGGAGGAGACGGGCTCTCTGCTCCTTTGCAGTTGGGGATGAATGTTGAAGTTGAGGCACAGTGGTTCCCACGGAAAGCCCAAAGTCAGTGCGGCCCCTCGGCCTGCTGTCGCAGGATGCCCCGGGAGGCCACACCCCCAGCCCCTGCTGGCCCCAGCCCACGGGAGGCGCAGGCAGCTGCAGCGCCCCTTGCAGGTGGGACTGGCCCAGTGGCTCCTTCCTGGGCTATATGCTAACTGCTCTGATGGAGAAGCACCCCACCCCCGATTATCTCAGTGGCTTCATGCGCTGTACAGAGCCAGGCTGGGGTGGAACGGTTTGGCTGTAGGAGCTAGTGATTTGGGGCTCATCACCCTTTATGGCCCCCTGAAGATCTGGCACAAGGCAGGTGCCCGTCCGCCGCAGAAGGGAGGGCAGGATCGCTTATCTGCTCAAAAAAGGCCAGCCGACACCCCATCACCCACTGCAGCCCGGGCGTTTCCATCTGGGTGAATCTCAGGCTGGGCGGAGGGGATTCTCACCAGCCACATGATTCCACAGTCTCACCCTGAAACCTTCTTTAACGTACGTGTGGAGGGAGGTGATGCCCTGGCACCCACACTGAGAAAAGGATGGGTTCTGCAGAGCCAGGATTCCCATTGGGAGGGTGAGAGCAGTAGCTCTGCCATTGGCTTGGCCCAAAACAGAACGGAAACGCGCCCTCATCACACGAGCAGTCCAGATGGTCTAGCGCCAGGGTGAGGCAGGCACCGGGAGGAGGAGGGGACAGAAAGCTGTGAGCAGTACCCGTTCGGGGTCCTGGGAAGCTCCCTGATGCCAGCCGGGCCAGTGACATGAAGAGAAAGGCTAATAAATAGATGCACATGGTGAGCGCCGGGCAGCCCCGGGCCGGATTGCGCAGGATGCAGCAGATGCCGCTGTGGCTCCTGCACCCGGGAGCCAGGTGCTCAGTGTCTCTGGTAAATATACACAGATGAAGTGACTTCTTTTCAAGTATTAAAAAAATAAGTTAATTGACAGAAGAGATCCAAAGCGGCTGAGCGTCCTGCCAGGTTATCAGCTTCATTTCAATGTGCAAATGGGAAAAAAACGAGGAAAAGGTCATCTCTTCCCCGACATAAAGTGTGGAGCAGGGACAGTGCCTGTCTGCCAACTGGGCTCTTAGAATGTAGGGCCTCATCCCGTCCCCCAAGGTCAGCATTTTCCAGTGTCAGAATGGTTGTGAACTACAAGCAAAATGCAGCCACCCACAGGCCTCAGGCCACAGCCAGCCAGAGGCACCGGCATCTGGCCACTCAGGTTCCAGCATGGTGCTGGGCCGGGGAGCGGACCTCTCCTGCATCCTCCTAATCTGCATGATCAATTCCAGAGCCTGCACGCACCTCCATGTCTCCTGTGATGCTGGGGTAGGCATAGCTGGTGACCTCCCCATCCTGGGTCTCGGTCGCACCCTGCTCTTGTGGCGTATCATTTTCACTTCTTTGGTGGTGCTCCAGGAAGCAGGAAGAAGACAGTGCCCCTCCCATGCTGTGGCAGCAAGCTGTGGTTCTGATGGGAGCAGCTTCTCTCTCTTACCAAATGTGCCAGTGGCAGAAAGGGGCACAGCAGCGTGTCCTCGGAGCGTGCGGGGTCCCCTGCATCATGCCACACAGGCCGTACTCCTCCCCTGAGCAGGAGGTCCAGGTGGGCCTCCTTCCAGGAGGTGGAGCCGTCTCAGATAACCACCGTCACCTGGGGCTCCCCATCGCACACGGGACTCGGCCACTTTCCAAGCAGCACATGGCACTGAGCGAAAAACTCCAAGGAGTTTGCGGCTCCAGGTGGTTTGGAGGCCACTGACCGGCTAGGCGGATGCCAACAGCAAACAGAGCACTGGGTGGGAGCTCAGGACCAGTTCAGGCTGAAGCCCTTGGACAGCATGGCAGCCTCCAGGTCCTTGTCCTCCTCTCTCTCCCGGAGCCGCTGCTCCTCCAGCAGTGCCACCAGCGAGTCTCTCTGCTCCACCACCTCCAGCATCTCATTGAGAATCTGCTTCTCTTCTGACAGTTCCTCCTCAGTCTTAAGGTGATCTGGAAGGAGCAGAGGGTGAGGTGAGGGCCCAGGAGGTGGTGCCCACCCCGATGGTGCCCACCCCAGTCTCCACAGGTGCCTCAGTCCACTCACCTTCCACTGCCATGCGCTCCCGGAGCTCCTGCTGCAGTCGGCTCTGTCGGTCTTCCAGCTCCAGCTCCCGGGCACTGAGGAGGCAGGGCAGGTGAGAGAGAAGCCACAGTGATGGGGGACCACCCCTCACCCCCAAATCCAGAAGGACCTCCATGTCTGCTATGACAAGCATGGCGCCGATACCCGCTACCCACGGCCACTCACAAGATCATCAGCTCCGACTCGTAGCGCACCATGGCGTTCTTCTCCTGCACGAGCTTGAACCACTCCTGCATCAGCTTGGGGTCGTCCTTCTTGCCCATGCCTGCCGAAAAGAACGTTCGTGTCAGGAGCAGGGAGTGCTGCACCCACCCCGGCCCGCAGGAGTCACACGGGGCAAATGTGCAAAGAGGGCTGAGCAAGATGCTGCCGGAACTTCCACTCCCAAGCCAGGCCCAAGGTTTGCCTGCAGCCACGGGGCCCTGGCGACCGTCTCCCCGGGGACGGGGCCTGTGCTTCCCCGTGTCCTGCCATCCCTGCTCACCCGTCGGCGACCTCGCCAGCGGGGCCCCTGCCCTCCTTGGGGCTGGTCTCTACCTTCCTGCTCTGTGTGCTCTCTTGGGGTAACTTATGCTGCTTTCCCTCTCTTTTTCCCACTCAGTGTTTATGTGGCACCTGCTACGTACTAGGTATCCTTGGAGGAAACCAGTGTTGTAAACAAGGCCACTGTGAACCTGTCAACTGCACCCTGCCCTCCATTCAAGTCATGTTCATTTAACTCAGCTCTTTTCCAGCTACTGCACGTCTCCAGGGCCACCAGAATGGATGCCTTGTCATTTTGTTACCTCCTGACCAGGTAGAGAAGACAACACCCCTTCACTTGTGGCCTATCAAGCTTCCGGCCGCTCTCCCGCCAGGCCCTGCATGGTCGACGCAGCACATCCCAGGAGGGCCGCGTTTCTCACCAAGAGCAGAGAAACACTAGCAGCCTCCAGGGCCAGAAGGAGGTGCCACACCCTGGTCTGGGCCAATCCAATAGAATGCCTGTGGCTGCTGGCTGCCTGAACCAAAAGTGCCTGATACTAAACCACCCCCATAGGGCCTGACGGCTGGGCCTCACTGTGGCAGGAGGACAGAAGGAAGATGTCTCCGAGGGACCGAGCCACCCAAGGAGGGAGCAAGGCCTTTTCTCTGGAACACAGAGGCTCATAGCAAAAGTGCTGTCCTGCCTGAAATACATGCTGTGTCAGTGGCTCTTCAGTATTTTTGGATTACAAAACACTTTGAGAATCTCATAAAAGCTAGGGACTCTCTTCTAGAAAAGTGCTGATGCGTGCACAGCAAACACTTCGTGGAGAATTCCAGGCTGTTCCTGGGCTTCCTGCAGTCCATCCCTGGGCCTCAAGTACATCTTTGAGAGTCCGTTCCACTCTCTGTGGACATTCTAGCCTGGTTAACAAGCCCAGGAATGCGAGGCACATAGCCTGGGGTGGCCGGACGCAGCCCGAGTCCCCCTCACTGCTGGCTGCATGGTTCCACCTGCCTTTCTGGTACATGATTCACAGACTCTGCAGTAGGGTCTGCAGACACAAGCCAGTTAGTCTCTACCCAGTGGCCACACCAAGGAGGCAGAAATGCACCGTGTTCACACAAGCAGGGGTATCTGCACCGTGCCCCCGTGCACATGCAGCTCTGCTCCCAAGCGGGGTCCTGCCCCGAGCCCTGCTCTGAAGGACGGAAGCTCCCCGGCCTGTCCAGCCTGTGACTGTGGACTGCATGCCTGAGCCTGAGGGTCAGGGGACCAGCGCTCTCTTCACCCAATCCAATAGGCTCGGGTCCCCGCTTAGTTCCATGCATTGCTTCCGGAGCGTCTCTGCACAATGTGCCCACATGGCTGTGGAGGAGGGGCCCGAGGCATGCAAGCTGTCCAGTGCGCCCAGCTGTGGCGGCACCAGGGACTCTCTCCCGCTGCCCACCTCCCCGTCAAGACATAGAAAACACCACCAGAGACGTGCGAACACCACTCACTAGCTACAGAGAGTTTGCCCACAGCCGCCGGGCAGGGGGTGCTGTGCGTGGGAGTCAGGTGAGCGCCGCGGACGGCAGGTGACAGTTAGCAGGGTTAGTCATCACCACACCCCCCACATGCCTTTCAACGACAATCTTATCACCACAACAGACTTCAAATCAGACAAACTTAAAACACACACTCAGCAAGACACAAGGTAGAGAGGTTTGCCTTCAGTGGTTGTTCTGGAAAGGGACCCGAGGGCACTCGGGCAGACCTGTCTTCGTAAGGACAGTATTCCTTGACTCTGCCAACCAAATTGCTGTGCACAGGTGGGGCTCCTCACCTGCATCCCTGCCCCTCTAGCTGATGGATGTGAGACTTAGAGGCCCCAACCACGAAGGGCCGGGAGATGCTGCAGCCCCAAAGACCCAGACCTGGAGGCTCCCTGGCTTCACTCTGCACCCTGGTCCTCCCCTTGGACAGTCAAAGGGATACTGTACCATTAGAAACTGCCACAGACTCATGACATTTTGTGACAAGACTGTTGAGGGTCAGAGAGAGGGGGGGTAGGTGGGTGCTGGCTCGTGTCTGACTAGTGTTGCTGCGCCCCTCTGAGGCAGTAGGGGGGTGGCGAGGTTACGTTACCTTCCTGGACACAGCAAGGGCAGAAGGAGAGAGGTCTACGCCGTGGAGTCCCGCCACTGGGCTCAACTTCAAAAGGGACCAAACAAGGAAGAGGAGGAGGCGGAAAAAGACAAAAGGAGGGGAAGAGGAGCAGGAATTTGGAAGTGGAGAGGGACGGGGAGAAGGTAGAATAAAAACAAGCAGAGGACAAAAAGCATAAAAAGTGAGAAAGGACCAACAGGAGGAAAAGAAAAAATACAAGAAATGGAGAAGCAGAAACAAGGGAAGCAAAGTCTACAAATGAATTAAGTCCTTTTTTCAGCACAGAACTGAACAAGAGCAGACCCAGCTCTGGGCAGTGTCACAGAGAGGGCGAGGGGCTCAGAGCAGCAGCGTGGATTGCTCCAAGAGGGACGACGTGTGCCCTACATGATGGCAGACTCGGGCTGCCATCGCCCTCCTGCCTCAACTCCTTCCTGGGAGGGCAGTGGCATCTGGGTTGTCATATAGTGGCCTTTGGGGCCTTAGGCCCCTCCTCAAAGCCCCTGGACAGGTCTGCATGGCTCTGGGACAGACTGTATCGGATAAGTGGCCAACATGGCTTCCAGGCTTGCAGGTGACAACCTGGGGTCACGTCCCAGACCCACGTAGAATCCTCTAAGATGTCACCACAGGCATGTGCTTGAGGCAAAGCTGGCATTGACAAGTGTAGAGCAAGGAGGGGCCTCTGAGTCTGTGGGGACAGCACCCAATCCTGCAATGGGCTTTTGGGACTCCCGCATCTGTGCTGCTTCAAATTCTGAGCCAGGACAATTTTGGGGAAACGTACACACACAGAGGGGACTTCTACCTGTCCGTGTCACTGTCCCCTCTCTCCCCTAGGCATGGAGAGAGCCAACCACCCCCTTTCCTTCTGGCCCTTCCATGGCTGTGCAGGAACCCCATGCCACGGCTGTGGGCTATCACGCTCTGGACTGTGAAACCAAAGGGGTGAGCTGACAGGACACGCCAAAACTTAACAGGAGCGATGCTGGGAGGAGGCTGACGGGGCACCGGGAGACAGCGTGCAGAGACATCTCTAGATATGGGGTCTGATGGTTACTGAAGGACGAGGGAGAGGAGCTTGGCAAGGGACCATCACAGAACCACAGAGTACACACAGGGACGACAGAGCCCAGGAAGACACCGGGCCTCGGCCCGTGGGGAGGGCAGTGTGTGGTTTACAGAGAGAACAGGGTTGAAGAAATGACCTTGTTTGACTCAACAGAAGGTCAGCAAGACAAACGGCTGGCTCAGAGGCCGCTCAGCGGTGCAGCTGCACGAAGGCAGGTGTTCTGTCTCTGAGTCCTTCCAGTGTGTGCACAGTGCTTTGGGCACACTGACTCTGCACTGGGTACAACTTCAAAGCCAAAGCCAGGGACAGTGCGCATGCATGTCAAGTGCTGATTTTACCCACTGTGCTAAACACACACGGCATTGCCAGCCGACCGCATGGGCACACGAGGAGGGTTTCTTTCCTTACAATACCCTCTGCCTTGCAGCCCATCTACAGGCAACCTCAGCTTCAAAGTGTAGAGTCTGTGTTGAGGCTTGGAACAACTGGATGACTCCCATCAAATACGTCAGTGAACACACCCTGCCACCTCCTGGGACTGGTGTCACAGGTGAATAGGCCACGTTGTGGAGCGGAACAGCACCCATGTGATACACAACCGAAACACATCCAGAAGGAAGAGGCAGATGCCTGCACGGGCAGACAGTACCACACGTTTCTGCTTTCTGGACAGCACAAAACACAGCTTTCAGCTCTTTTTATGTCGGCCACGTCCTCATACGCCCTTCCCAATACAGAAGACAATATAACAGAATGCTGAGAACAGAAATTAGGAAATGAAATTAGAGAAAGCGGGCATCAGGTAAGGCAAGCATTTAAAGAAAGCAAAAAGGCTTCTAGCAAGAGGCAGGAGCGTGTGAGTGGCCAGTGCGCGCGTTGCGGGGTCTTCACCTCCGGACTTCCCCCTACGCTCCGCCGCTTCCACAACGAGCAATGCTACTTGTGTAATCAGAAAAAATGCCCAATCAATACAGTTTTAAAAATAAGAAGTGGAAGGGAAAGACCAATCCAACAAGGGGAGTTCCACCCAACTACAACCTGGCCTGAGCATGCTAGGGGCGGGGGTCTGGTTTTATAGTGAATTCTTTGCCTTTTAGGGAGATGTGAGAAATAGCAGATTTGGTTCACTGGTTCTAAGAACAAAGATGCTGTCAAGCTTATGGCAAATGGAAGTTTTCTGGTTTTTCTTAACGTCAGGGTAAGGGGTGCTATAATTTACCACTTCTCAAAGCACTCCTGTGTGCCCTGGGCGCCGGCTACCCCTCTGCAGCTCCTGAGCAGTGAGTGGGTCCTGGCTGGGGTGTCTGGAAGGCCCGCACGACCCTCCCTGGAGCACCCTGCTGCTGTCCCCAACACTTGCAGGCACACCTGCTCCATCTTTCCCTCTGAAGCTGCACTTCCTTTGGATGTGTGACACCTGGTGTGCAGGCAGTGCCTGTCACCAAATTTCAAACAGCAGCAGACCCCCACCAGGGAGTGAGGCCTGTCCAGAGCCAAGTGTGAGACAAGCATGGACAGCACCCTCTGGCTTTAAGGTGCCCTCGCTGCATCACCCATGCGATCCTCACCCGGCCCAGGTGTGGCTGCCAGGACGGGCACTTGCGTCCCCATTTCCAAATGAGGCTCAAAGGGGTGCGGTACAGCAGAGCCTGGAAAAGAAGCCAGATCCTCCTTCCCACCCTCAACTCAGAGCTTGTCCTCTCTAAGACCAACGCCGGCTCTGGCAAATCTGACAAACAGTGGCGTCTCAGGCAGCTCAAAGGGCAGTCCCACAGACCCTGATGGGAATGTCGCACCTGGAAGGGAGGCCTGATGTCCCTTCCTGCCCCGTCTTCTGAAGAGGCCCTGAGAGGGAAAGCAGAGTCTGTTTTGTCTGTGCCTGGGGAAGACAGTGAAGGCAGGGCCCGAATCCATGCCTCGCCTTCCTAAGTCGGGGTGCCCCTCACGCTACCACCTGGCCCTTGGCACACCTGAACACCTCACTCCAGGCCCTGCCTCTCATGGGCTCAGGACCCCATCTGGGGTAGAACAGCTGACAGGGTGGGAGAAAAAGTGGCCAGTCGTAGGACAGGTCCCCCTCCTCTGTACGTGTCCTATATTCCTGCCTTCTCTCCACTTCCTCACAAAGGCCTTGGTCCAAGACTCTTCACCTTAGCACACTGCATCAAGAGGACACCCAGGTGGCTAGAAACACAAGCAAGCAGACAAGCTGGCACACCGAGCCTGGATGCCCATCTGAAAGGCAGGCAGGGCTAACTTCAGTCCTTCCGGTACTCAAAATCCCAGCAGCCCTGGTCCCGAGACCAGGGTGCAGAGGCTCGAGTGCCTTGCTCACGAGGATTAGTAAGGATATGATCAGAAAGCTCGGAGGGGTGGGGGCTCATGCCTGTGATCCCAGCACTTCGGGAGGCCAGAGCGAGAGAACGTCGGGAGCCCAGTAGTTCGAGACCAGCCTAGGCAATGTAGTGAGAACCTTGTCTCTACAACAATTAGCTGGGTGTGGTAGCCTGAGTATCTACAATCCCAGCTACTCCAGAGGCTAGGGTGGGAAGACTGCTCGAGCTCAGGAGGTCAAGGCTGCAGGGAGCCATGGTCGCACCACTGCACTCCAGCCTGGGTGAGCGAGACCTTAGCTCTACAAAATAAACAAATAAATAACAATAGCGCAGAGGGGCCAAGAGGCAAAGGCCCAACTCTGCTCACAGCCTGACGACCACCAGCAACAATCTGTGTGGTGGTGGGTGCTGGCGTCATGCTCTGCATTTCCAACCCAGTCGTTCAATGCTACCTGGCTATGTTTAACCCGCTGGCTTCTACATTGCTGCTGACATCCGAAACAGAAATATACATGAACCACGGCCTGTGGTAAGGGCAATGCGGAAGACTGATAATTTATACCAGAAGCGCTTACTGCGCACCCAGAATGCACCAGCCACCAATGCTAACCACGTGGCCGCTAAAGCAGGCAGCAGAGGCGAGCACAGCCACAGCGGCGGGCAAGGTGGTAGGCCGTTCTCCAAGCTGAACAACTGGCCCTAGGGATCTGCCTCATCTCAGTATCCATCTTTACCCAGTAGACAGGCTCCCAGCTCCCCCTGGTTGGACAAAGGTGCTATCACCAAGGCTCAGAGCTGGGGAGGTCCCGACAGCAGTGCCCAGCAGACCCAAAGAGGGCCCATTTCAGAGATTTTGAGGGCCCAGAGGTACCAGCCTGGAATGCTGCATTTCCCCAGGGAACATGGGTTAGGTCCCGGAGTGTCACCAGACTAGTGCCATACACAGAGGTGTAATGAGGAAATCGGGCTTTTATGAGCCACCATTTACAACTGTACTTCCATGGAAAAATATGGAATTCCAGATAATCAGCTTGCAAGTGCCTTAGAACACCAGCCTTTCAAGAGTCCGGGGCAGCCCCACACGCTCGCTTCTGACATGCTGCTGTGTGTTTCACGCAGAGCTCTGCACAGCCCCAGAGTGAGTTCCTTCCCCTTTCAGCCACACTTCTGACATGCTGCTGTGTGTCTCACGCAGAGCTCTGCACAGCCCCGGAGTGAGTTCCTTCCCCTTTCAGCCACACTTCTGACATGCTGCTGTGTGTCTCACGCAGAGCTCTGCACAGCCCCAGAGTGAGTTCCTTCCCCTTTCAGCCACACTTCTGACATGCTGCAGTGAGAGAGATCACTTTTGGTTTTGACTTCCTGTTGGCCTCTGAGGATCACACTCCAAGGGGCTGGGGACAGGAAGGAGGCTTGCTTATTTCTCAGGCACATTTTGAGGCCCCCCTTTCCTGCCTCTCTGGGCAGCCCTGTGCAGCCCTTAGCTCACGGGTGGACTCATTTCTCACACTTGTTTTGGCAGTAATGCCACTGTATTTACCGGTAAATATACTACTAATAGAAATAATAACATAAATATTATAATACAAATAAGTAATATAAATATAGTGACGGGGCAATGGCTTTTTATCTAACTCCTGTCACAGACACCAGAGTTTTTGTCACCTTTTCCTAGGAAACACCAGGGGCATTGCCTGTCATGGCTATGCCCAACTGATCAGATAAAACTTGCAGAAAGCAGCTAGGAGTGCTGGCACACAACTGCAATGCCAGTACTTTGCGATGCAGAGATGGGTGGATAACTTGAGGTCAGGAGTTCGAGGCCAGGCTGGCCAACTTGGTAAAACCCCTTCTTTACTAAAAACACAAAATTAGCTGGGGGTGGTGGCCCGTGCCTATAATCCCAGCTACTCAGGAGGCTGAGGCAGGAGAATCGCTTGAATCTGGGAGGTGGCGGTTGCAGTGAGCCAAGATGCGCTCTAGCCTGGGTGACAGAGCCAGACCCTGTCTCAAAAACTTTCAGAAAGCAAAGTGCCCGGGGCTGGAATTCCCTGGTGGCTCAAATTATGGAATAGGGCCACTATAGATTTTCTGCTCTGCCTTGCTCAGGTTATGTAGCCTGGGAAGTGTGAGGTAAGACTGACCAAGTGTTTTGCTAAGGCACTTGGCTAGTCTGAGTCCCCAACCCAGGAACCCCATTTGGTGGGTACCACCAATGCCATGCTCCTGGCATGGGGCAGCCTCCGCACTGTAAGGCTGAGGTCCAGTCTAAAACTCTGGGCAATGACAAACACCGTGGCCCTGACAGGGGCCCCAGCTGGCTGGGTACAATACTGCAGACGTGTGAGCAGGCAGCATGACAGGGTGAGGCTGGCCCGGGGGGCCCAGTCTAGCATCCATGTGATCAGGTGGGGAGATGCCCGGCGCTACACAGACTTAGTGCAGAGATAAAGCTCCAGGTTGGGAGGAAAATTTAAGGCAAAAACCAAACAAATGCATGTAACAATTACAATCCAATACACACACACACACACAAATAAATGCATGTAAGAAATACACACACACACCCCCCCCAACAAATGCATGCAAGAAATACACACACACACCCCAAACAAATGCATGTAAGAATTACAATCTAATACACACACATACAACCAAATGCATGTAAGAAATACAATCTAATACACACACATAAACCAAACAAATGCATGTAAGAAATACAATCTAATACACACACACACAACCAAACAAATGCATGTAAGAATTACAATCCAATACACACACACACCACACACACACAACCAAATGCCTGTAAGAATTATAATCCAATACACACACACACCCCAAATGCATGTAAGAATTACAATCTAATACACACACACATACAAGCACAACCAAATGCATGTAATTACAATCCAATACACACACACACACACACACAAACAAAATGCATGTAAGAATTACAATCCAATACACACACATGCACACGCACACAACCAAATGCATGTAAGAATTATAATCCAATACACACACACACACACACAAATGCATGTAAGAATTACAATCCAATACACACACACACACACACACACAAACAAAATGCATGTAAGAATTACAATCCAATACACACACACACACACAAACAAAATGCATGTAAGAATTACAATCCAATACACACACACACACACAAACAAAATGCATGTAAGAATTACAATCCAATACACACACACACAAACAAATGCATGTAAGAATTACAATCCAATACACACACACACACACACACAAATGCATGTAAGAATTACAATCCAATACACACACACACACACAAATGCATGTAAGAATTACAATCCAATACACACACATGCACACGCACACACAAACAAATGCATGTAAGAATTACAATCCAATACACACACACCACACGCACACGTGCACACACTGCAAAACCTCACAGGTTCCAAAGTTCCTAAGCAAAGCAGGGCTGATGGCGGACTAAGCAGGCAAACCAAGAATCTCCCAACAGGAAACCCAGAGAAGCAGGAAGAACAGGAAGACAGTAGCTCAGGCGGGCAAGGGGCAGGCGTCCTGCACTCCCATCTCACCACAGTGAAGCCACCCTCCAGTTCTCCGTGCTACATTTCTAAGCCTTCCCTGTTCTTTCAATTTCCCTTTAAGACATAAACATTAAGAGATGAGGTCCCCCAAAACTAGAAATCATGTGTATTTTCAATCAATTTTAGAAGAAATGTGGTTTTCTTCTAGATTTCCAGTCATCTGTCTTTTATAGTGCAATAAAGCAGGCTGGGCTGGGCCTGTTCAGGGTTCCAGGGAAGAGGGGGAAGGGAGTGGCCACCTGGGGACCCTTCCTCTCTGGCCCAAGGGCTATTTTGAGTCTTTTTGATGATGTCTTTGGAAATCACAAGGTCCAGCCATGTGAGGAAGGGAAATTTCATTCTTTATACCCTGTCGCTGAAAACAGACTTTCACAGCCTTGAGATAGTTCACTGAGGGCCACTGAAAGAGGCTGCAGTGTGGCATGCAGACCACAGGGCACAGGGCAGAAGGTGGCATTCCCAGCACTCTGAGGGCTGCTTGCAGCTTTGCTCTGCCCACGGGGGAAATGAGACGGGAGTTGTGGTACAGAAATAGGGCTTTGGAGTGGCCTTTTGGGGATGCAAGGGCAGAGGAGTAACCGGGTTTGACGTTTCAGGCTCCAGATCTCAGTAGGGTGACTCTCCCTCCAATTAATGAACATTACCAAGTGCTCCAAGAATGAAACACTGGCAGAGACAGAAAAGGGAGTTACTTCTTGCATTGCTGTCATCCCTGCGGGGCATGGCGAGACCAGGACCTGAAGTCCACAAGAGATTCCCTGCAGAGGGGATGTCCCCTTTGAGCTTCCTTATTAGGGCAGCAGCAGCCCCCATGTGGTGAGCAGAACCCGAAAAGTCTTGAATTTACACAGAAGTCATGACGGGCTGGGAAACGGGAAGTGATGAGCTGACAAGCCCACTTTCAAAGGGTTACGAGTGGCAGTGGTGGGGCACTGTGTAATTCACAAGGCACACTGGGTTTCCTTTTTCTATTTCATTTCCCCCTGAAACTTCCAGAATTCCAAAAAGCTAGCAGCTGGAGACTGGGGACCCATAGAAGAAAGCAGCTCGCTGCCTCTTCTCACTCAAGCAAGGGGGGCAAAGAAAGCAGGAGGTGCCTGAACTGAGAGGGAAGGGTGGATATAACCCTCAAGAAATGTGCTCTGACAGATTCCTCCAAGAGATTCTGAATGTAATGAGAGACAGGGTCTGGCTCTGTTGCCCAGACTGGTTTGCAGTGGTACAACCACAGCTCACTGCAGCCTCAAACTGCTGGGCTCATGTGATCCTCCCACTTTAGCCTCCCTAGCACCTGGAACTGCCAGACACATGACATCATGCCCAGCTAATTAAAAAAATCTCTTTATAGAGATGGGGTTTCACCATGTTGCCCAGGCTAGTTTCAAACTCCTGGGCTCAAATGGTACACCTGCCTTGGCCTCCCAAATTGCTGGGATAACAGGTGTGAATTTTTTCATACACTGGGATTTGCTTAGCATGGACATGGAACATGCCCAAGGTAGTGTTAGGAGGAGGCAGGAGGCATTAGATGGGAACAGGGTCTGTTAATTGGACTGTAAGCACCGGCCCTTCTGCAGCACCCATGGCCATGAGTGTGGCGGTCCCTGAACACACCAGAAGCCCTGGGATACCGAGGGAGTCTCCAAAGGGTGGGTCCATGGGGGTGTGGGAAAACACAGACAGCAACAGTCCCCCTTCCCAGGGAGGTGAGAGCCCTGCCTTGGATGTGGCCCTGACAGGTGGAATCACAGAACTATGACACTGGTATTTAAATGAATGGGCCAGGAAGTGACCCTCTTAAAAGAACAGGGTCAGGGTAAAACATGGGAGAATTATCTTTGCCACTCTGCTCTTTGAAGACCACCTCTAGGCATGGAGCCTCCACGGGGAGATCAAGAGGGCAGACTACCAGACCAAAGGACACAGGAACAGGGAGGAGGAGCCAGAGTCCCCAGCATTCCCCTCGCCGCAATGGCAGCGGCCCAAAGCTTAGGCGTGAGACTCAGGTGTCAGCCATTCCTCTGAACTAATACAAACGGCAAGACGCCAAACACACCACAACCCCTAAGCTAGTGGTTCTCCCGCTCTAGAGGGCACTGGAACCTGCTGGAAAGTCTGTTACGGCAGATAACCAGGTCTCACCCTAGTTTCTGATTCTGTAGGTCTGGGGCTGTGCCTCTCTAACAGGTTCCCAGGTGATGCTGGTGTCGGCCTAGGGACCACACTTTGAGAACTGTGGCCTTGGGCTTTTCGTGTCTTCATTGAAAAGAAGTACAAAGTGAGCTCCGGGACAGAGCAAGGAGGGAGGGACGTTGTTACCAACACCTGTCAGCCTGGCTTTGGGTTTGGTGAATCTGGGCAGGAATCACAACAGAGAAGCCTCTCCGTTGTGCTCAGCGCTTCGGGGAGACAATGAGAGCACACCTTAATGGAAATGGTGGGGGCTGAGGTCTTGGCATCTTTGCTTAACTGTGGCAGGCAGTGAGCTCCCTAGCAGACATGATTCCTACGAGCAGTCAAAGTTGTGTTGCAGCATATGTATTTAGGGGACCAGGATGCAGAGGCAAGGCTGGTGGAGTGGGGAGGGCAAAGTTTTATTATAAAAAATTAAAATGGCCCCAGGCAGAAAAGCTAGGTCAGATCTTCCTCTAGAGCATGAGGGGGCAGTGGGGAGATCAGCATGCTGCTCTGATTTGAGCTGGAAAAGGGTCTGTGCTTTTGCCATGTGGTTATGGGGTTGATTTCTCCTTGTCTCTGTGAGCAGGGACTGGGGAGTGTGGGTGGAGAAAGGGTGTCAGCGGGGTTAGTGTCAGCACAGACGCTGCCATACATACCACCTAGATGCAAGTCGATGAGGTCACTGTAATAAGACTCTCCCCAATAGTCTACAACAAGGAATCGGTGAAGAGAGAGTTATTCCATCAGGTAACCTCCTGTCCCCCCACACCCAAAGCAATCAATGACATGGAGCATAAGAACACAGACAGAGCGAGGCGGCAGAGGACAGCTGGAAAGCATGCGTGCCTAAATGCATCACATACCGCATGTCCACACATGCCTATCTGCGAACTACATGGCTGTGGGAGGAGGGAGCAACTAAAATCCACTGCGGGCGGTCGACAGTCATGAGCAACGCGATCCCGCTTATGCCGCGGGTCAGCCGGGACAGAGGGTTTGGCCTTGCTGGGAACTCCCACCCCTGGGACTGACCTTCTCTAAGATTTAACAGAGCAGGGTTGGCCTGCTTGTCAGCTGCTGAGACTGGGAGCCCCAGGCTGAGGGCTGGAGGCAGAGGGCAAACGCCCAACAGAAGCTCTGCAATTCTTAGGGTTCACGCAGCCAGAACTCTCCCAGGAATTCCTACGAGCCCACTGCTGACTGTCTCAAAGGTCTCGCAGACCCACTTTTCCAAATGGGTTTGAGAGGAAGGGGTTTCTGTTTTAAGGCTTAGGTGCCCAAATTCAGTCAGCCTTCTTAAAAACAGGTCACGAGCAGAGAATTATGTGGAGTTCTTCCTGGGCACTTGCCCGAAGGCTCCTGGGAGGTCTGCAGGCCCAGGGCAGGCCGGGCCTGGTAGTCCCATGGCTGTCTGGCGAGAGCGTGGCACCATTTTCATGCCTGAGGTGCAGACTGGGTGCTGCTGAGGCTGGGCTTAATCGGGGGTCATCTCCCCAGAATCACAGAGCTGAGAGTCTGGGCTTGAGCGGGGGTCTTCTCCCCAGAATCACAGAGCTGAGAGTCTGGGCTTGAGCAGGGGTCTTCTCCCCAGAATTGCAGAGATGAGAGTCTGGGCTTGAGCGGGGGTCTTCTCCCCAGAATCACAGAGCTGAGAGTCTGGGCTTGAGCAGGGGTCTTCTCCCCAGAATTGCAGAGATGAGAGTCTGGGCTTGAGCGGGGGTCTTCTCCCCAGAATCACAGAGCTGAGAGTCTGGGCTTGAGCAGGGGTCTTCTCCCCAGAATTGCAGAGATGAGAGTCTGGGCTTGAGCGGGGGTCTTCTCCCCAGAATCACAAAGCTGAGAGTCTGGGCTTGAGCGGGGGTCTTCTCCCCAGAATTGCAGAGATGAGAGGCTGGGCTTGAGTGGGGAGTCATCTCCCCAGAATCGCAGAGTCGATAGGCCAGGCTTGAGTGGGGGTCATCTCCCCAGAATCACAGACACAGGGAGCTCAGCAGTCAGCTGCCAAGGTGTTGCCCTTTCTCCAAGCCCTGCATTCTGAATGCAGATCTGCAGCACCTCCGGTCCCAACCGACGGCCTCCCCTTGAGAATGACACACCAGACAGCGGTAGAATGCAGTCCTGCCCCAGCTTTTCAATGCATGCTCAAGGCTGAGCCAGCGTTTGTAACAAAAAGGCTTCCCAGGTGCCCAGGACTGGAAATCATCTGTCATGGCCTGGCCCTATAAAGGTGCTGAAACTTGTGGCCTGGCCATTCGTTGTCATACCTTAGACAAACGGAGAACAGGATGACAGGTCCATGCCAGATCCCTTCTCTGGAAGGCAGCTTATCATATGAAGTCTGATGTCCTCAGACAGCAGTGGGAGCTTGAGACCACCAAGGGTGGCAGGTTACTACAGTCCCCAGGGAAGGGCGGACTGCCATGGTGCAAAGACTCTGGATGATTACCATGCTCTGCTGTTACTGCCTTCTGCAGGGCTCAGCCAGGCGTCCTAGGGAGGGACTAAGGGGAGGGACAGGACGCAGAAGCAGGAGAGAAGGCAGTGGCAGCACCACACTTGGGCTTCACAGACGGCATCGGCCAAGGAGGGGCAGCGCCACGGGGAACTGACGTGAGACCAGCCTTGGGAGGGATGTGTTCTCGTGAGAGAAGGAAAATAATATATTTGGCAATTCTTATATTCTTAGAGTGGGAACCATAATTCCTGAAAATTCCTGAGAATTTCTCAAATGCATCACAAGGAAATGTCCCGGCAGAGCTACAAAGGCCCATTTTGAACATCGGAACAGAAACATCTTTGTATAGAGATATTTTGGCGAAGACTCATCTAAAGGAGGGAGTTTGGACTAGGACAGAGGTTTTCGAGCTTCTGTGGAACCCTGTTTCTTCAAAAGCCATGCCAAGGGGTCTCCCAAATTCCTGATGTACAAATACTTGTAGCTCTTTTGTTTTCTTTGAGATGGAATTTCGTTCTTGTCACCCAGGCTGGAGTGCAGTGTCACGATCTTGGCTCACTGCAACTTCTACCTCCCGGGTTCAAGCAATTCTCCTGCCTCAGCCTCCTGAGTAGCTGGGATTACAGGCGCGCACCACCACACCCGGCTAACGTTTCTGTATCTTTAGTAGACACGGGGTCTCTCCATGTTGGTCATGCTGGTCTCAAACTCCTGATCTTAGGTGATCTGCCTGGCTTGGCCTCCTAAAGTGTTGGGATTACAGGCGTGAGGCACTGCGTATGGCCACTTGTAGCTGTTTTAAGAGAACTTATTAAAATAAGACATGCCACTTTCAAATGTTTCATATGTCAACTTTTCACCCACTGGAGACCATCAACCCAATAATTTGTGCTGCTGGGTGAGCATGATTTTGTGGGGCCGTCAGGATCAAGTTTCTGCCTCTCTTTGTGTAAGTGGCTGAACTCCCTGTAGATGTTAGTGAAGAGGACACTTTATTTATCTGTGTATATAAATTGTGGCCTGCAGGCACAAGTGCTCACACGCCAGTGTTCGGGTCCACCTGGGTGAGCTGCAGCTCAGGGACACACGTGTGTCTGTCGGCGAGGTCCTTTAGTTAGGGAAACATGCTTTGCTGCCGTCTGACAGCGAAGGTGGGGTTTTGTTTACTCTGGGAGCCTCTTGTTGGAGATGTGTCTTTCGTGAGGAACAGGAGCTGCTGTTATATTGGCTATGATTCAACTGTGAGAAAGCTCTTGCCTCATTTTAAACTTCTAGTCTCTACATTTAAAATGCAGATAATTCCGATATTTCCAAGCGAGGTGTTCAGTTATTTAAACTTGAACTTATAATCTTGTAAAAAGGGTTCTTCTCCTAAAAAAGAAGTTTGAAAGCCACAGACTTGGATGGCATTTGAGTTGCATATGATTAAGGAAATGGGATTATCTACCGACTAGAAGAAGGAATTCTGGCAGAATTGCGTGCCAATCTTCAATGGCATATGATCTTCTGGCCCTTTGGCAGCTTGAATAACAGGGCCCGTCACAGAGGCGACGAAGTGTTGTTTTACACTCAGACTTCAAGGAGGCCACGGGCGCTCACGTGCCTATGGGAACCACCAACCTGAACGGCACCGCCACCTCGAGGCTGTGAGTGAGGAGGGCAGGGCACGGTCTTCTTCCTGGAGGTCTTAACGCACAGAATGTGGCCGCACACACCGCTGAGTAATTTTGCCTGTGTGTTGGTACCTATCCACTGCTTTCCATCTCGGCAGAAGCGATTTGTGGAGAAGTGCGAGGAGAAATGAAGACGAGCCTAGGCTCTCTCCCGATCTCTTCCGCAAGAAGAGGAAAAGCACAAGGGCAGGGCCCTGTGGGCCTGGATGCAGACGCACACAGGTGGGCTGGGGCCAACTCCATCTGAGCTCAGGCTTGACTGAGGAGGCCGAATCAGAGTGCGCCGAGCAGGGTAGGGAAGCAGGGCACCGCAGGCTCGCTGGGAAGCCTCGGGCCCTCTTAGGCAAACCCGAATCTCCTTGCCGTGCTTGTCTCACCGCAACTCATCCTAGTCTTCTCGGCCCGCTGGATGCTAAGTGCTTCAAGTTTTGCATTTCTTTCGGCAGCCTGGGCTTTAGCATTAAGTCCAGCATCAGGTGATCCCAAACCAAGAGCATCCACAGCTTCCCCTTTCTTCCTAACCCATCTCTCTGCCTGAAGGTCCTCGCAGAGTAGACCGATAAGCTGCAATTTCTAGGCCTTAAAGGGCCTGGGAAAGGAGACCTACTTGCACGCCCAACTCCCTCACTCCCCACCGCACCAACTTCAGTCCTACAGGCTACAGGAACTCATCTTGACACCAGGCACTTCCTGTGAGCCCAGGGGTCTTTGAGCAAGATTAGATGGCAGCAGCAGGCCCTGCTCCTGGCTGCCTCCTCCCAGTTCTTCTGTTTCACAGAGCACCTGCCTGTCAGCAGAGGCATGCTGCTCCCCTCTGCCACACTAGAGTGAGGAAGTAAGAGGACACTGCTCTTCTTCATCCCAGCTCATAATTTGAAGCTGGACCTGCAGGCTATAAAGAGATGGAAGTTTCCCCATCCAGAGGCTCGACGAAGACTTGTGGGTGCTTGAGAAGGCAGAGTGGTCACTGCACCCCCGGGCTGGCCCTGCAGCTTCAAGGTCCTGAACCAACAGGGCTTCCTGGGCTGTGGGGCCAGAGACGCCTCAGGAACTGCCTTGCATTCTCCGTGCCCAACCGTGCTGAGTGCAGCCCCGCAGGTTCCCTGGGTGGAACGGCAGACGTGAGCACACCACACCCTCCGGTGCTTCCCTGCTAGGAGCAGCAGTCACAAGCACAGGGCCCTGCCAGCCACTCCCTGGGGTCTGATCCATGTTGGCTAATCACATGCCCCGAGCCTCTCCAGTCCTGCCCTGAGTGACCAGCCTTCAGCAAACACAGAGCCTGGGTGCCCTCTGGAAATACGTGCGTGCCAAGAGCGGCCACATGCTCTCTCACCAGCAGTGGTGAGGGCTCTGTGGGCAGGAGGGGCCCAGGGAACTAACGACAGGAGGGAACCCATGGGGTGCAGGCTGGTGACCTGCCCAGTGCAGTTCTGTGATGGTTCCTTGCGGTTCAGTCTCCCTCACTCCCAGTTACTCCCTTCTAGAGTAAATGTGGGGCAGAAAGGAAGAGGGGGGAGCCAGCGCTCGCCATCAACATGCCAGGGACTGAGTTTCACTCTATGGGAAACAGCAGCCCACAGGGGCTGTGGAGCAGGATGGGCCTGGGGCTGTCTCAGACAAGTATTTTCTTTTGCTTAACAGGAAGCCCCAAATCTCAGTGATGAAGGGCTCCAGAAAATCCTGCTGGAAAAGGAGCTGAATTCCAGGTGAGGTGAAGCAAAACTAGCCTACCATGGTGGGAGGGAGGGAGGGAGGCTTCCTCCAGGAGCAGAGCTTAGGAGGGAGCCCAGCAGTACCTGCTTCGCCCCGGAGCGCCTTCTCCACGGCCACGCCCCTTTCCTCCAGCCGCCGCTGCCTCTCCTCCACCTGCTGCAGCTGCCGCTGGATGATCTGTGACAGACAGCACAGCCTGAGCACCCGGCCCTCCAGCCCAGCTTCAGGAGGACACACAACTGCACACCAACATGAGGGAAATGAAGGAGTCACCACTCTGATCTGTGGGCAGAGCGCTCAGGGTATGGTGTGGAGACCATCTGCACCAGGACCCCTAGCTTACGTAGGCGCTAGGCTCTGGGCCTTGCTAGCTGGCACCAAAGAGGGCGGACATGGCTCAGGTAGCGACCACCCTCCCAGGAGTGGTGCAAGGACAGGAAGTGAATGTAAACTGCTGCAGGAGGGGCCCGAGTGCCAGAACCTCAGACTGTTCTCACGCCAAGACTGCTGGACTGCTGGATGGGGTTCCTCAACAGCGCAGTGGAAATCCCATCTTTACAGTAAGAAATTAAGAGAGGCCAGGCATGGTGGCTCACGCCTATAATCCCAGCACTTTGGGAGGCCAAGGTGGTTGGATTACCTGACGTCAGGAATTTCCGAGACCAGCCTGACCAACACGGTGAAACCCCATTTCTACTAAAAATATAAAAATTAGCCGGGTGTGGTGGCGGGTGTCTGTAATTCCAGCTACACCGGAGGCTGAGGCAGGAGAACTGCCTGAACCCAGGAGGCAGAGGTTGCACTGAGCCGAGATCACTCTACTGCACTCCAGATTGGGATACAGAGCAAGACTCCATCTTAAAAAACAACAACAACAACAACAACAACTCTATGATGGTCTAGATTTCAGGGTCTGTGCAGCCTGAAGACAAGCCGAGGATGTGAGGAGCGCTCTGACGTCTTCCCACAGAAATCCCAGGCCTATCAGAGGCTAAAGAGCCATGAATGGACTCCGGGCACCAGCTCTGACTCTGACATGGGGGACAGCCAAGGCCCCTGCTGGCCTGCCACCCACCCCTATCTCAGACCTCCATGCACCTGACTGAGGAAATTTCTCTTGTTCTTTCCAGCCAAGAACCTACAGAGGAGGAACTGAACAGTCCTCACAATTGAACGAGGCGACTCGCCATGATTCTTCTACAAGGAATTGTGGAAGCCCAAAGCAGCGCTCTTCCCCCCGCCTCCGCTTTTTTTTTTTGAGACAGAGTCTTGCTCTGTCACCCAGTATAGAGTGCAGTGGCGCGATCTCAGCTCATGCAACCTCTGCCTCCCGGTTCAAGCGATTCTCATGCCTCAGCCACCCGAGTAGCTGGGACTACAGGCGCCCGCCACCACGTCCAGCTAATTTTTTTTTTTTTTTTTTTAGTAGAGATGGGGTTTTGCCTTGTTGGCCAGGCTGGGCCAGGCTGGTCTTGAACTCCCGACCTCAAGTGATCCATCTGCCTCAGCCTCCTGAAGTGCTGGGATTACAGCACTTTGGTGACACCATGTTCAGCCTGCTCTTCCCTTTGGACAGACAGCTCCACCAAGGCAGGGCCTCTGTGGCTGCATCAGCTGAAGGTGACCTGGATGGCAGGGGGCCAGTCTACCTCTGCTTTGCTCTGCACTGCGCTTAGTGTGGCAGGGCGCAGCTGGGTGGAGATGAAGGTGTTGCCCAAGCCTCCCATGCATGTGCCCTGATCCCAGCCTCCCTGGCTGTACCTGGGCTCGATGCAGCCTCTTAAGCTCCTCCTGCTTGGCCTGTCTCCGAGCTGCCTTCTGCACACGCCGGGTCAGCTTGGCGTTCAGTTCCTCCTCTGTGTAGGTTCTTGGCTGGAGAGAACAAGAGAAATTTCCTCAGTCAGGTGCATGGAGGTCTGAGATAGGGGCGGGTGGCAGGCCAGCAGGGGCCTTGGAGAGGGCTGTCCCCCATGTCAGAGTCAGAGCTGGTGCCCGGGCTGAGACAAGCCATCCTCTGTAGGGAGAGTGCTGGCAGGATGGGCGGTGCTGACAGGCAGAGGGCATGAGTCTGCAGAGTCCCCAGCCTGCAGCAGCCCTCAGTGCCATGGGCACACCTACGATCCACAGGGTGAGACACCTCCCCACCTCTGCACGGGGTACAGGAGGCTGAGTGGGGACTGACTGTTAGGCACTTAAAACAATAAAGGGACACACACTCCTTTATCACTGAGATCACCTGTTTCCTGAATAAGGACGTCTGGTCTTTTTAAGACTTTGTGGGATTAAAAACATTGGTAGGCTGTTTCACCGCTTCCTGCTTCTAGGAGGCTTACAGGGGAAGGAAAGAGGGAAATTAGCATCTTTTTATTTTCCTGTTTGGTATCAAAGGCCACTTTCTTCAGAAGAGCAGTATCCATGAGTCTTCTAAGAAATGACAACAAGTAGAGAAAACAGGAATGCTTCTCTTTTAAGTCAAGTACAGTTTGAAGAAGGAATTGTGGACGTGAACCTGGACCAACTCTGGGGTCTGCAGAGGTACCCGTGGGCCGCTGTGAAGAAGAGAGGCAGTGGCCTGGCCAGGGAGAGAGGCAGTGGCCTGGCCGGGGCAGTTACGCCCAGTGCCATCAAGAACGGAGGTGGCAACGGCCCAATCCAGTGCAAATCCACAGACTGGACAGCCACAGCCCCTGCCCACATAGGTGCCAAGGGTTCAAGGGAGCATCAGAGGCTTTGAAAAAACCCTGGGCAACCAGAGGGGCAAAGGTTAGGGAATCTGCCTTTATTCCTAAGGCCTTCTTTTTGCCTCTAAGAAAATGAAACAAGGAGACTATAGAAAAGTTTTTCAGAGAGGGTCTCATTGTCACCCAGGCTGCAGTACAGTGGTGTGATCACAGCTCACCGTAGCTTCAAACTCTTGGACTCCAGTGATCCTCCTGCCTCAGGCTCCCAAGTAGTCAGGACAGCAGGTGTGTGCCACCTCCCCCGGATGATTTAACAATGTTTTTTCTAAAGACAGGATCTCGTTATATTGCCCAAGCTGGTCTTAAACTCCTGGGCTTAAGTGATCCTCCCACATCAGCCTCCCCAAATGCTGGCATTACAGGTGTGAGCCACCACACCTGGCCAACCAGGAAACTTTTATAGACTTCAAAGAAGACAAACGTGACTTGGGCTCATAATCTTCACTCAAAGAGCTCAAATGACAGAGGGTCCCTGAACAGGCAGTCCCTAAGGGTCATCAGTGGTGTGCACCTTGCTGATCAGAGCTGAGGGCTGCACCTCTCTGGGGTGCCCCCGCCCCACAAGGGCAGGTCTGTCCTGACCCGGGGAACCTGGAGCAAAATGACCACATGCACTCTGGCCGGTGAGGGGCAGGCATCTCCTCCTTCCCATCATGAGGAGGCTAACGGAAGTGCTGCTGCCAGTGTGCCACAGCCCATGCGCATACAAACACAGTTAGTGAGGGTGAGACTGGAGGGCCGGGGCCGGCGCTGGGCGGTTAATCGCAGACATGCATGCAACAGTGACCAGCTGACGCCAACGAGACACTACCTTTGATGCATATGATCTCCTGAATGCCAAGGCGTGTGGTACATAAATCGACTTTTAAGGGGATGGCATCAGAAAACAAAACAGAATAGTAATAATAATAATGATTAACAAATTATAAATTGAGAACACAGAAATGGAACAAAATAAGTTAGAAGTTTAAAACAACACACAAGACTTAAAACACAATGTGATTATTTTTCACACAGTCACACAGGACTGCCTAGAGGAATCTGGGTGTGAAGATCCTAGTGGTGGCATCTGGGCGACGTGGTTTTAAATACGGCCGGGTTCACTCTTTCACTGGGAAGAGGCAGCTTCTTCCTCACCACTCCTAAAACCCTCATCTCAATGTCCTATGTGTAAAGTCAAAGCCGTTAAAACACGTGATTCTTGATCCTTTTCTCCTTGAGTGACCCCAGGTGTTTATGGAAATTCAGCCCACTTCTTCCTGCCGAATGCTCCTGGGTAGGAGAAGGGGGTGCGGGAAAGGAGGGGGTCCTGCTCTCAGAGACAGACAGACACAGCAAACTGGGAACGAAACCATCTCTCCTGAAAGGATCTCCGCTGGCAGTGTTCCTGTGTGCCACCCAGCTGCCATTTCTTGATTGTGCCCGGAAAAAGGAGGTGAACTAGCATCAGTAACTGTTCACGAAAAGCACACTGGGAACCTCTTCTCATTCCAACGCACCTTGCACAGAGCCACTTGGAGGGCCAAGGTGAGTCATATCTGCTCTTCGGGTCTCACCAGCCACATTAATGGCTGAAAGGCGCTAAGGGAACCAGGGTGTACGGTGGCACACAAGACAGGGAGGTCCTGAGAGCTCTAGGCCGGCTGCAGCCCCGGCCGCTCTCCCTGCTGCTCTGTCCATCCCATCTGTGGGATGGCCTTGTGAGGAGCTGCACCTCCCAAGCCTTTTGGAGAGGGAAGAATGAATCTGCCTCCTTTGACTTTGAGCACCTGTGTCCCCCCGACTCTGGTGGATGGACTCACCTCTCCCACAAATTGGAGCGAGAGAAAGAATGTCATTATGAGAACAAGCCAGTTCAAAAGAAGAGAGAGACAGATGATTTCCTGAAGCGGCTTGCAAAACGCCCACAGAAACTATGGACCACAACTAACATCTTCACCTGTGGCTGATGTCAACCATCATGGGGGCAGTGGCTGCCTTCCCACAAGCTACCCATTTTCTGGGCTGGGAGGGGCGAAGTCGCCACCTGTCGCTATGTGCCTGAGGTGGTGGCCAGCCACAGGAGCTGGCGTTCTGCGTGAATCTGGATGAGGGGTGGCGGGGTACCCAGGCCACACTCGGGTGGGACACAGAACTCAAGAGGCAGCCGTGAGTTGAGTTCTGGGCCACAGAAGTGGCCAGAACTTGTATTTGAAGTCAGATGAAAGCAAAGAGGTAAATGCGAATTCTCTCTTGTAGGTATGGCTACAGGTGTATTTTTAAAGTCTCAATGATCCTAAATTTTCTATAATAAACATTTTAAAGAAAAATGTAAGTTATTTTGACTGGTTTAAACATTTCTAACAAAACAAAACCCAGGCTCTTGTTTCACAGGTGCTGCAAGGCAGGAGGTGTCGTCTGTACTGCTGGAGTGGCTGGGGATCCTGGGTGGCAGAGGAGGCTCAACCGTCCCCTGGGTTGGTCGGCCGTCCCCTAGCTCAACCGTCTCCTCGTCCTCAGCCATCCCCCGGCTCGACCGTCTCCTTGTCCTCAGCCATCCCCCAGGTCGGCCATCCACCAGCTCAATCGTCTCCTTGTCCTCAGCCATCCCCCAGGTTGGCCATCCCCCAGCTCGACCGTCTCCTTGTCCTCAGCTGTCCCCCAGCTCAACCGTCTCCTTGTCCTCAGCCGTCCCCTAGGTTGGCCATCCCCCAGCTCGACCGTCTCCTTGTCCTCAGCCATGCCCCAGGTTGGCCATCCCCCAGCTCGACCGTCTCTTCGTCCTCAGCCGTCCCCCAGGTCGGCCATCCCCCAGCCTGTCTGTCCCCCAGGCTTGGCTTTGGCTTTAGTATTCCCTATGTGCCCTCCAGCAAATGGCTTCGCCTCTGTGGGTGCCCATGGAGGGTGAGGCCTCAGAGGCTCCCTCTGGCTCTAGGGTTCCATGACTGGTGTCCATGGCTTTCTCCTGTGGTCCTGTTCCTGTTCCTCCCTTCCTCCTCATACCTGCTGAGCCCTGGGGAGGCTCACCAAGTACCAGCCTTGGCAAAGCCAGTCTAGGAAGCTGCTGCCCAGCACCCTAGTGGGTGCTCCATGCATGAAGAAGCAGTGGACACACTGCCCACCACAGCAACGTGAGGGAGGCGAAGGTCCCCACTGTCACACTCAGGAAGGCAGAAGGTCCCCACTGTCACACTCAGGAAGGCGGAAGGTCCCCACTGTCACACTCAGGAAGCTGGAAGGTCCCCACTGTCACACTCAGGCAGTGAGCCTGGGACCACACTCTCCATTCCTTGCTGACCCCTCAGGCAGCACTCAGCCCCAGTGTTGGGATGTAAACACATCCCATAGAAACCCATAGAAACCTAGGGCAATTCTCAGCTCAGTGCCAATGCTCCTGCCTGGGAAAGCTGGACAGGGAGCCCTGACAGAAGGCACATTCTTTCGGTCCTCGAGGAGAAGGCACAGACCCCAACCCTAACTCGGTGCTGGCCTGGCTGGGGCACAAGGAAGCCTGGCTCTGCAGAGGGTGGAGCAGAGGAGAGGCCTGGCCCTCTAGAGCCTTCTAGGAGAGTAGCTGAAGAGCTGGCAAGGCCAAGGGAGACAAATGCACCGAGGAGGGCGCAGAACAACGCGTCCAGTTTGCTGAGGGATTTACACAGGCAGGGTCAGCTGCAGGAGCCACCTCACCCAGCAGGATGAGGGGCCCAGGCTCACCACGGCCCACCCTCACTGGGCTACTGGGGGGCAGGAGGGGGCAGACTCAAGTCCAAGCCCCAGATGCCTTGCAACCAAGGCATGGTACACTGTGGGGAAGCTTTTCATGTGAAAGGGAGGCAGGAAGCAGAGACAGCCAGGAGGAGGAGCACAGAGTCCAGGCCGGACAACAGAGGTGGGAGGCGCTCTGCAGAGCTCCACCTGCCCTGCATGCTGAGAGGCCTGACAGAGTGTGCCGACTCCTCTCCCTCCACTTTCACTGGATTCACCCAAAGTCCTGGGCTCTGCAGAGCAAGGGGCCAAGTCAGACCCAGCAGCCCTGCAGGTCCGTTCCCGGACCAGTCCTCTAAGACTGGGCAGGACCAGGCACTATGTTCAGTGCCTGAGGTCCAGCTCTTGCCAGCAGCCCTGGACTGGGAAGCGCTCTCCACAGAGGCCTTGGGGCTGGCGGGCTGCTCCTCACGGGATCGCTTATGAAGAAACAGACAATGCCAGGCTGCCTCCTCCAGGGAAGGGGAGCGTGGCACAGAAATGGCTCCAGTCTTTTCTTCTTCACAAGAGCAGAAACCAGGAACCCTTGCTGTGCTACAGCTCCCATGTAAAAAGCCCAGCATGACCCTCTCAGTGCGCAGGGCTAGTCAGCAGTCAGCTGGCTGTGTGCCACTCGCCATCCATCCCTGACTTCAAGTTTGCTCTCCCCCTCCTCCACCCCATCAAAGCCCAGCAAGGAGTGGGCCTGGGCTCTGTGAAGGCCCCCTGCCTGACTACGCACCTCTCGCCGGGACTTCTGCGAGGACCTGTCAAGGACATCGTCGCTGGAGAGGTCCGAGTCCTCGGAGAAGCTCAGCTGGCGCCGGAGCTGCAGCTCTGTGGGGAGAGGGAGGCTGCGTGAGGATGGCGCCAGCCTGCTGGGGCAGCTCTTTCCTACTCCCACGTGTAGACGGGGAGGCTGGGTGGGAGGCTGGACTCATTTTAAGTTTAATGGATCCTTCCCCCATCCTGGGGAGCCAGGAGCTGGGACGTCAACATTTGCCTGGGCAGGGCAGAGCTGACACCAAGCGGGCGGACCACGGCCTGCCTAGCCCCTCCTGGCAGCACTGCCCTCTGCTCTGTGCACAAGTGGACTGGGGTCATGTGACTTTAGAAGGGCACAAACCTCCAGTCTTCCTGATCCAGTTTCAAGCTGGCTTTGGGAATTCTGTCACTAAGCAGGCTATGCCCTGTGAACCCATGGTTTGGTCCCTTCTCTAGGTCAGCATGGCTCCCGAAGAAGCCTCGGGGGCCAGTGCATAAGTGTGGATCCTGAGAGCCCCAATGACCCGAGCCCACGTGCACCCCTCCCTCTCTGGCCGCAGGCGGGCCCGACACCCACGCACCTGCCCTCACGATGGGCAGTGCCCTGTGCTTGCCCGAGTCCGCTGTGGCCCCACTGGAGGGGGTGCTGGGGCAGGACTTGTCGTCGGCCTTCTTCTTCTTGTCCTTCTTGTACCCGGAGAAGACCGATTTCCACAGGGACTTGGGTTTGGTGGCGGCTTCCTCTGGAAGGCTGGGGCTGGGCTTTTCCGGGGGCCGGGCCTCACCTTTGGACTTTTTCTCCTTCTTATTTCTGCGGGGGGAGAAGAGTGACGACCTCTTCTTGCTCTTCCCGCTGGAGCCCTCAGATGAAGTCAAAGAGCCATCTGGCCCCCCCGAGTCCGATGGTGGGGAGAGGACCTCCTCGCTGGTGGCTTCATGCTTCAGGGTGGGCTCCTCAGAGCCCCTGAGAGTGGGGCGGGCGGGGGAGTCGGGCTGGCGCTCCTTGCCCTGGGAGGGTGCCGAGGACGCCTTGCGTGGCCTGGGGGCACCCGTGGCCAGCTCCATCTGCTGCATCCTGCTCAGCTGCCTGGCCATGGCATCCCTCAGTGCCTGGCTCTTCACGGACTTCTCTCTGGCTCGCATGCGCTCCTCGGCCAGCTCCTTGGCTTTGGCGGAGACCAAGGGCAGCCCCCTCTTCTGTGGCTGCAGCGCCCCCTCCAGAGCAGGCAGCCTCCCGTTCTCCTTGGCCACGGATGGGTGGGGAGGCTTCTCGGGGTGCGGCCAGCAGGACGGGGGCGTGAAGAACTTCTCCTGCAGGCTGGAGTCCTCAGTCTTGTCGTCGTAGGTGTCTTCCACGTCGTCAGCGAAGGGGATCTCCTCCACGCTCTCCACGAAAGATTTCCGCACTTCCTCTCTGTGGGGCTGGGTAGGCTCCCGGGGGGGCCTTATCCATGTGGCAGGCGAGGGTGGTGGGACTACCGAGGTGTTGGGTTCGGCCTCCCTGAGTTTCCTCCGCAGGGTGGCAGGTTCCTCACCCGGGGGCGGGGGTGGGGGCGGGCTGGAGGGTGGCGTGAGCATGGCCGAGTCCGAGGTGTTGAAGCTCTGGCTGCCCAGTGTCTTCATGTTGGAGGAGCTCCCATGCAGGCCCAGGCCAGAGCTGCTGGACAGCTCCCTGCGCTCCTCCTGGGCACTGTGTAGTTCCCTGTCGGATGGGGACCGGGGTGGCGGCAGGGACAGGAGCTCACCCTCAAGCTTTGGCAGGCCCATTCTTTTGGGGACAGGCAGAGGCTTGAGGAGGTGGAGTCCTTCATCCTGGGGGGACTTTTCAATGGAATAGGACTTGAGGGACACTGGCCTGAAGGCAGGCGTGGGGAAGCTGGGTTGGGGCCCCTTACTGCGGTCCACAGGTGTGAGCCCCAGGCTGCGGCGGATCTCTGCACTCTTCATCCAGAACTCCTCTACCAGGTCGCTCCGTCTGAGGGCCTCATCCACAGCAAGGGGGCTGCCCAGTCTGTCCTTAGGGTCACCCTGGCTTTGGACAGGGAGAGGGGCAAGTGGGGTGGATGCTTTGGCTGGGACAGGCTGGAAGCGAATGGGGGACTGGGTAGGGGATGGAACGGTGGCCTCAGTGGAAGGCTGGGGCTGGGAGCAGATGGGGAGCGGGCTGGGTGGGGGTGTGGAGGCTACCAGGGGTAGCGGGGGTTGTGGGCTCCCTGGTGAGGCAGGAGTCCTGGCTTCTGGCAGGGCCACTGGCTGGGATCGGATGGGAGAGTGCACAGCTCTCAGATCTGAAGGGGTGTCAGCTTTGGGCTTCTCTTTGGGAAGCAAAGGCTCAGGGAAAAAGCGCTCCTTGGGTGGTTTCTCCTGGGTGGTGGCAGGAACAGGTGGAAGTCGGGACCCCTGTGGAGAATGAAGACAGAAGCCGCTGAGAAGGCGAGGGCTTCCACGGCCAGCAGCATCCTTGGGGAGCATTCTCGCTCAAAGTGCCTGCTGCATGAACTCCCCCCGTCCTCCCAGCTGTTATTAGAACAGCTCAGAGAACCCTTCTCACTTTCTGCTCCAGTTGTTCAGTGTTTAGAACCGCTCTGCTCAGTTTAGGCAAACTGGGTTTCCAGGGTTTGGTTCATCAAGATACATCCTATAATCTTTGTCCACTCAGGAACACTGGCCAAAAGGACACAGATGACCGCAGTTCTCACCCTCCAGGAGGCCCCAGAACACCAAGATCTCTGACGCACACAGAGGGGCCAGGACTGTAAGAAGACTTACAACAGCTACTATCGCAGTGCATTACGGTCAAAGCGTCCTCCCCAGCAAGCTCAAAGACGTGCAACGATGCCTGCACCAGCCCTTCTATCACCCCATCCAAGTGTCTCAAACAAAGCCTCCCCATTTCACAGATAGCATCAGTGAACAGGTCAGGTGCAGTGGCTCATGGCTGTCATCCCAGCACTTTGGGAGGCTGAGGCAGGAGGATCGACTGAGCCCAGGAGCTGGAGGCTGCAGTGAGCTGTGATCATACCACTGAACTGCTGTCCATGCCAGCCTGGGCAACAGAGTGAGACCCTGCCTCAGGGAAAAAAAAAAATCGCTGAATAGCTCCATGTTTCCTAGAATCCCAAAGACCAAATCAAGCAGATGCAGGCCTTGAACTCCAGCTTTCTCCCTGATGTGGCCTCTAGACAGTATTTCCCGAACCATGAACCACCGGACCTTCTGTCACAGTTGGCCTCGCAGCCTTCTCCACGTGGTTCACGCACCACAGGCTGTCTGCTGGACACTGCACATTTCAATGGCTAGACATTTATTTTAACATAATGTTAAAAAATGCATTTGTCGGCCGGGCGCGGTGGCTCACGCCTGTAATCCCAGCACTTTGGGAGGCCAAGGCGGGTGGATCATGAGATCAAGGGATTGAGACCATCCTGGTCAACATGGTGAAACCCCATCTCTACTAAAGATACAAAAAATTAGCTGGGCATGGTGGTGCATGCCTGTAATCCCAGCTACTCGGGAGGCTGAGGCAGGAGAATTGCCTGAACCCAGGAGGCGGAGGTTGCGGTGAGCCGAGATCGCGCCATTGCACTCCAGCCTGGGCAACAAGAGCGAAACTCCGTCTCAAAAAAAAAGCATTTGTCATATCAAACCAATGATCCCCTCAATATTATTGATTTAAACATAAATTTAGTTTTAATAAATTTAATATTTAATTATTCATATTAAGTACTTTATATTATAAACAAATTATAATCATACTAATTTTAAATTATATAATAAATTTGTTTTAATATAAATAATAATTTAAATTAAAACAAATTTTAATAAATCTATTCTATGTTTAATAATTATATTATTTATTTTTAATAAACATGTTTAAATTAAACATATGGTGTGTGGCATGTGGATCTAGTACAGTGACACAGGATAGACAACTCAGGTTTGGGGTCGGAGTGGGGAAGAGTTAGTAGGTGCCATCCAGACAGCCTCATCCCCCAGAGTCTTGAGCTGGAACCCCAAGGCCACTCCTGTCATCAATAGCTCTACTTAGCATAAGAGGACGATAGTTTTCCATCCTCCTCAGAATGAGGCCAGCAGGCTATGTTAGCCCCAGTTGTGATGGGGCTCATACCATGGGCCCCGGAACAGGGAAGTTAATGTGTGTCCCTGGGGTCCCATCAGTTCTCTGCGCCCCACAGCGAGCCCCAAACCCTTACCTCTGTTTTGGGGCTGTGGACTGGAGTGAACAGAAGAGCTGATTCCTGAGGGGACCGGATGGGGCTGGTGGCTTGGAAGGGACCTGAAAAGAATGAACGCAGGGATTTATAAGAGGAAGCCCCATGTGCTCGGAGGGCACCCACTTCAGCCAGACCCAGAGGGTGGAGAGGAGGGCAGAAGGCAAGTCACTGAGTCTGCTCCCGGGGTGAGGACCCCGGCACTCTCTGCAGGTGCTCCTGTCAACACCAGGTCAGTGTGGGCTTCCTCCACGTGCAGGCCCTGCACGCAGAGCTTTGGGACGCACCTTCTACCTTCTCCCAGACTCAAATCACACAAGGAAAGGGCCATTGGCCAAAGCATCTGCAGCAGCCTGTGGCACAGGGAGGCCAGACGGAGGAGGAAAGGCAAGGAGCTGCCTGCACCTCGGAGGGCAGTGCGCACTGCGGCTCTGCTCTGGAGTGGCTGGCCTCTGCGTCCCTCTCGTGCACACATGGCTCTTGCAGGAATGCTGAAAGCTGTTTCTCCCATCGCCCACAGGCTCACCTCTCTTGTGTTGTTTTGGTGAGATGGGCTTCTCCTCATCATCTGGTGCCCTCAGCTCTGGCTCCTCCCCGTTGGCCGGGCGCTGCAAATGCAGCTCTCTGTCGGCCTCCGACGGGCTGTCGGCCCAGGGCTGATCTGGCAGAGGGCAGGGCAGAAGCAGGGGCACACCCTAAGCGAGGCTGACTTCTTTTTCCCCTGAGAGCTGGCCTACCACTTGCTCATTTGCAATACAACTGCTCAGGTGCAGGCTGGGTGGCCCTTCTGATGCAGGGACGGATCTGCCTACCGGACCACCCCACTCCTGAGGGGTCCAGCCAAGAGCACCCTCCTGCCTTTGGAACATGGGGCCGCATCAAAGCCTGTGGGGCTCTGTTTCTTTTTAAACACAGCAATTGTGACACAAGATGGACCATGACAGAGAGACAGGATGTGCCAGTGGAGGGCAGGCCTGGCCCCACGGCCCTTCTACCCTCCTCATCCTGTCAGCAGCCCCAACTGCCACCCACGTCAACAGCTGGGACCTGCACCCCTCACAGGCTCGGGCTCTTCTCATTCCTCTCAGCCCTGCCCCTGACCCTCTCAGCCCCCGACAACCAGACTGCTATACAGAACACACCTCCAGGTATCTAGCTTTGGGAGCTAGTCTGCGGGATTAAAGGCCCTGTATGAAGCCACAGTGTGGCTCAGGCGCCCAGCTGCAGCTGGACGAGTCACCTGGTGTTTGTGGGTGGGTGGAATGAGATGCATTCCAGTCATGGCAGAGCCAAGAAGGAACCAGGAGGCCCAACAGCAGCCTCACTGAGCTTGATTTTGCTGGAAAACATATTTCCCTCACCTTCCCTGAGCTCCCACCACAAGAAGGCAGACCCCTACCATCATCCAGCTCAGCACCGGTGTCCCCTGGGTCCCCATCCTCTGCTGCTTCCCCTTCTATCTCAGCTGGTTCCGAGTCCACATCTTCCTCTAGGTCATTCTCATCCAATGGGGCTGCAAAGCAGAAAGGTTCAAAGGAAGGAAGGAAAGGCAGACAGGCAGGCTGCATCTTCATGGGGCAAGAGGTACTGCCCTTCTCAGGACCTTGCCATGCAGGCCCCAGGACAGGAGAGATGATGCCAGACCCATGAGCTCTCTGCACACAGCATGGGCGCTGGGGGCGGGGCCTGGGGCTACCAAACATGGGAGGTTGGCATTTCTCAATGCTAGAGGCCAAGTGGGAAGAGAAGAGTGGCTGATGGTGGGGACTGTTCATCTTCCCCCAGAGGTCGCTGTAGGAGCCTCAGCTGAGGGTGGAAGGGGAAACGCTGCTTCTCTGGGCCTGAGCCCAGCAGCACGTGCCAAAGCCTGGCCACGTCAGGTACCGTACCACCCGCCTCACACCCTGAATCTGAAAATCCAAAATCCAAAATGCTCCAAAATCTGAAATTTTCTGAGTGCTGACAAGAGACCAAGTGGAAAACTCCACAGCAGACCTCACGTGGTGACAGTCATAGCCAAAACTTTTGTTTCATGCACAAAATTATTAAATATATTGTATAAAATTACCCTCAGGCTACGTGTACGAGGTGAACATGACACATAAATAAATTTCGTGTTTAGACTTGGGTCCTGTCCCCAAGATCTCTCATTATGAGAGAGCTGAAAAAAATTTGAAATCCGAAACACTTCTGGTCTCAAATATTTCGAATAAGAAACACTCAGCCTTCCAAATAATTAGAGGGACTGTTTCTAATTCCTCCCTTTCAGTGAGAAAGCCGAGGTCCAGTCAGCTGAGGGGGCTGTTCAAAGCGCCGTGTGCAGGGGCACCAGATGAGCTTCCCTCGGGATAATTTAGAGAAATATTAACACTTTGTGAGAGTATGGGGGGCTGAGGGTATGTAAAGTTCATCCTCTGGACCCCAAGTGGCCCTTAGGGCTGCAAAACGAGGCAAAGCCCCCGACAACTTCCCTTCCCCAGGAGCCAGCCGCTAAGCACGCACACACCCTGCCCCCACCTCCCACATTCAGAACTCGCAGCAGCAGGAAGAGGGCGGCACGCTCCACTCTGAGGACACCATGAGACCCACAAGACCACTGCCAGGGGTCTGAGGGCTCTCCTAGGATTCAAGTCCAGCCACCCTCAAATTACCCCAATGGTTTTAACTTCACGAGAAAGGAGTTATGCTCTGAGGCCCACATACAAGAACCTGTGTATCAAAGCCCCAGGCTGGAGCAGGGAGCTGGCAATGCCTGGTTAGGCAGATTTCTTCAAAAGCTGTGTGGAAAGGGGAGGGCACAGCTAGGAAGCAGCGTCTTCTCTCCACAGGCCAGGCACTTAGAAGATGCCGGAACGTTTTATTCCTTGACTGAGGTGGCAGTTATGTGAGTTTTTGTTTTTTTTTTCTGAGACGGAGTCTCGCTCTGTTGCCCAGGCTGGAGTGTAATGGCGCGATCTCGGCTCACTACAACCTCTGCCTCCCAGGTTCAAGCAATTCTTGTGCCTCAGTCTCCCCAGTAGCTGGGATTACAGGCATGCGCCACCAAACCCTGCTAATTTTTTTTTTTGAGACGGAGTTTTGCTTGTTACCCAGGCTGGAGTGTAATGGCGCGATCTTGGCTCACCGCAACCTCCACCTCCTGGGTTCAGGCAATTCTCCTGCCTCAGCCTCCTGAGTAGCTGCGATTACAGGCACGCGCCACCATGCCCAGCTCATTTTTTGTATTTTTAGTAGAGACAGGGTTTCATCATGTTGGCCAGGATGGTCTTGAGCTCTTGACCTTGTGATCCGCCCACCTCAGCCTCCCAAAGTGCTGGGATTACAGGTGTGAGCCACTGCACCTGGCTGCAAGTTTTCGTTTAATAATTCCTTACGCTGTATGTTTACCTTTTATGCACAGCTTGTAAGATGCGGGTTCAAACCCACTTTTTGAAGAACTGTATGAAACACGTTTGGAAGGGAACAGACGGCCCACATCACAGGGAGATGGGCGGGTTCCCGGACTAGCTGACGGGCCATGCGTCTCCCTGAGATACCAGAGTGGCCCAAGGAGCTGGCCATGCCAAATGCTATCCTACAGCAGCGCCACCTGCGGGGGAAGCAGTGTGGAAACGCCTCAAGTACTTCTATTGGTTAAAGCCTCAGTGTGGAAACACTGCTTTTGGCCACTCAAGGAAGACACTTCATCAAACAGCAGGGAGTGGGACTTCTGTGGTACAGACAAAAGAATTCACGCTGCACTACAGCAATTCTGAGAAGGCTGGTGGGACAAAAGCCCTGCTGGGAACAGAATCTGGCCCACCCCGTGGAGAGGGCCATCATGCCTGACAGGCTTGTTGGGGTGATTCTGGGTGCCCAGGCATCAGGATGGCAACTCCACACTCTCGCTGGCGAGTGAACTGGACGTCGGCACCAAGGAGACCCATACAGGCCTCCCAGCCAGGCACCATCCAAGGCACCCTGGGTTAGCCCGATCCCGTCCTGGTGCCTTGGTCCTTCACGTGGCTCTCCTATAGACTTTCCACTAAGACACGCCTGTGGTAGAGTAAGAGGGGTGAGAAGTCTACACTCTTGGCAGAACCTTGAAAGGAACAATCGTCACAAAGACAAAAAAAAAAATAAACAGGTGAGAAATATCAATGCAGCAGCAGTGTTGAAAGAGACGCAGCTCGAAGGGTGGATCTGGGGGTGAAATTCGGGTTAAGATGGAGTGTAGGGTGCTAAAAGCTGCCACGCAGGTTGATGAGCCACACGCTAGGAAAGCCAGGAGCCACTGACCCGCTCATCTCTTGGTTCCCTTCAGCTGCCAGCTGGGAGGCTCCTGCCCCACCACTCTAGGGACCTATGCTGTCTAGGAGAGAGCGAGGAGCGCAGAGCAGTGGCCCTTCCCTGCGGCCATGTGCATGTGCGTTTCTCCCACTGCCGGGAGGACACAGGGACCGGCTGGGGAAGCCCCACGAGCTCCCATATATGCATCCCAGAAGTGACCGCTAGGACAGTGGTGCTGTTGGGGGCAACACTGTCTTTCCTACAGCAGTGTCTGACAACTCATGGGGGGATTCTGGGTGTCTTCATGGAGGGTGGAGGCCAAGAATGTTAAACCTTCTTCAAGGGAAAGAGTTGTCCTGCCCCAGATGTCAACAGACCCTCTGTGAGAAACACACACTTCCAGAAAAATTTAGGAAGGACAACACAGGCTGCTCAACAATCTCTTGTACTTGAAGAGACGCTGCAGCTCAAGCTGGATGTGGCTGGTGTCACCCGTGGTCACAGCCAGCCTGTCCTCACTTTCAGCTGACCAACACTCACCCCTCCTCTGCTCTTCCCTCTCACCGTCACCCTCCCATAACCCTCTGGCTCTGACTGCCTCCCTCTGACACCTCGGTAGGCATGTGAAGTATCTTCACATTCCTCCCCTTTCACACTCAATCGCTACCCACCTCGATTTCAACACGCTTTAAATCTCAGGGCCAAAAATGCTCTTTCAGCTTTGGCCTTTTTACCCAGCTCTGTCAGTAAAAACCTGCCTGTGTCTGTCTTGCCTGCCCTCCTGCTTCCCTCTGGGCTGCCCTGAAGGAGGGTGTGCGTCTGATCCATGCAAGGGCGGGCTGTCTGCAAGGCATGCAGGTGCCCCCACCCACCTCCGCCGCCCTGGCATGCACTAGCGACAGGCCCAGGAGTCTAGTGTTAAGGCACCAGCAGAGCCGCCTAGAGAGAAGTTACGGTGAGTGGGGAGAGAATGAACATCACCAGACTACCTCCGGAGACCGTCTCCAGCCAGGCCTGCACTGCCGCGCGGCGTATGGAGGGTAGGTCGGGCACTGAATTTAAAACAGACGACAAATACAACGTTACACAGCAATACGCGTTCCCAATGAGGAGAGCCAAGGTCAACCTTCAAATCCCAAATGGAAGAGAAACTGAGGCAGCATTCAGGACAGAGGCCCGCCCGGCACTGAGGGGCGTGAGCCCTGCTGCCGGCCTGTGATGGAGAATCAGAATGAGGAGGGAAGGGGAGAGCCCAAGGCAGAGCTGGCCCAGGGCTGCAGAGTGCCCCTGAGCTCACAGGCCAGCCCGACGCTGCAGGTGTTCACAGTGCCGCCACAACCCGGACAAGGAGGTTGGTCTTGCCTATAGGTGAAGATTTGGGGCCAGGGAAGAACAATCATCTTATTAAATGCTGTTTCATGATGGCAGGAAACGCCCCTTTTGTATGCCCAGAGCCCGGCAGGGTGTATGGCCTGTGACTGGCGCCAAATGAAAACGTGAACGTACGGGAGTAACAGCAGAGGTCAGGGACACCGAGGGTGGGCATTTGGAAGATGGCATGTGGGGGAGGACGGCACAGCAGTCACCACGTCCCTCTGGTCTCCAAGAGTTTCCTCTTATTGCTATTCCTTTATTAAGAAAGAAGCTAGCATAAGGTGCATCTTTGTCCTACTGTGTGGTGTAGACCGTCTCACCCAAGCCTGGGGCTGGAGACCATGCTACTGTGGAGGCCTCCTAGAGAGACATCGCCTTCCAAGATATCACTTCACTTCAAGACATGCTGCTCCCACCCCCTCCTGCCAACACACATTCATGTCCAGACATACTCTGTGAGGAAAGTACCAGAACCTTTTACAAAGTGGGGAAAGAGCAGCCATGACCAGAACATGGGAGAAAGACAGCAGAATTCTTGGTTTACCTAAGATCAGGTTCATTTGACTACTCTGCATCAATGGAGAAAGAATCCACAACCTCTTAATCCATAGAGAACTTTACATATCCTCAGGTGAGAATTACGGGGGTCACAACTGACAGCAGCAAAGGGGATGCACCTTTGATCTCACGGGGGCTCTGCCTGACAGAAAGGCCACAGAGGTGGCAGGCGGGCGGTGCTCGGGGCACTGCGGCCGGGGGCTGGGCGTGGTTACCTCTGGAAGCAGAGGACTCGGAGGCCGGCACCATCCTCTCTTCCTCCTCCCTCTCACGGATATGAGTCCAGTGCACGTCGGCCTGGATCTCCAGAGGATCCGCCACGTGCATGACCTGCTGGAGCCTCTGGTTCCCGGCTAGTGTCCCAGGGTCAAGGGGTGGAGAAGATGAGGTGGGGAACAAGGGGATGAAATAGCGTGGGAAAGGAAACAGAAAGAGAAATTACAGCATTGGCCAAATCAGTATGAATCAGAAAGAAGTAAACATTAAGAACACATATGCACATGTACACACACACACGTACACAAACACGCACAGTCCTTCTGCTCATTCAGTGTGACCTGGTCATTTCCAGCCATATGTGTACCATTAAATTCAGTGAAGAGAATCACACATTCTTTTCTGAGGCTCCTTTCATCCTAAGCTGCATTCAGGGGACACATGTGCCAACATGGAAAAAGAGCAGATTCCAGCCTGCTCCTGCAGGCCCAGCCCCCAGGGGTCACAAGGACCCGCTTTGTCCCTAGCAGTGCGAGACCCCAGGGATGCACTATCCTGCCCCTCTGCTGGTCACACAGCAAGGTGCCCACCACTGTCTGCCCAGCTGATGGCCAGGTGGCAAGAGAGGTGGGGAGAGACTGTCATTCTGCCATGAGCCGGCCAACGCACACAGGGCAGAGGTAGACTCTGCAGCACCTTGGTTTGGATCTTCTGCAGCTGAAGCTGCTGCTGGAGAGAAAAAGTCCCCCTCCCTCAGCAGACCTCATGCTGGGTCTGAGGCAAGGACACAGATCCCAGCGGAGGGTGGACCCAGGGGAGGTGACAGCTGGGAGGGAAGCAGAGCCATTTCCTGTACATTTCCAAACCACTGGAAGTTCACGGGCAAGAATGAAACCGACACACCTCTCTGAGGTCAAAGCCCTTTCCTGAAAACTCTATGTGGTGTCCTGTTATCACCTCCCTTTGGAAACAAGACCTGGTTTCTCAGCTAAACGGAAACTCACCAGTGGCCACTCTGGATCCCTGCCCTGTGGGATCCCTGCACTGAGTGCTTGGACCATGCCACATAGTTGGGTTAAGATAAAGGGACAGCCAGCGACTGGGAAGGGAGGGTGGCCGTTCAGGCAGCAAGAGCAGGACTTGATCTGAAGGACTCGCATTCCTGCCAGGAGCCAGCTTCCATCTTGGAATGGGTGTTGTGCCCTCCTCTCAGAGTCTAAGTGGACAAGCTGGCCTTGGCTTCAATCACTATGACAGCCTCTTCAAGCGACAGAGATGTGAAATAGGCAGAAAGGACCGGGCAGACCACCCAGTGCGATGCTGGCCCTGCGCTCTGTTGGGCGTGAGGTATTAGCCCCTTGCTGGAGATGCTGGTCTCCACAGATTTGTGGACTTTTTCTAAGGTCGTTTTGCCTTTCTTTATGATGCTGGGTGGGATGGAGTCACAGCAAAGTCACCTAACAGCCTGGATGTTTGCAGGACGGAGGAAAGTCAAGGAGAACTGCAGGCCCTCTCTACCTTCTCAGCAACCGACAGAAGAGAGGCATTCTTCTCTGAGTCCTGCTGACACATGCAGCTTGGGGGACTTACTGCCAGCACAAGCCAGCATTTCCTCCTTTCTCAGGGAAACGTTAAAGGCACCTGCACTGGTGACGGGAGGTTTCCTGCATCAGAGAAGCAGCCGAGTGTTGGCTGGAGATGAGGAACTTGCAGCAAAACGTGGGGCACGGATGGGGCCTTATTCCATGCGGCCACTTCTGGAGCCTTCTCCGACTCCCCCCGAGCCTCTCTTCTGACTCACATGCTACTGTGCACCTGTCTGGAGGAGCCCAGCGAGATGTACGCAGAGCTCGCCAGCACAGTTCCATTTGTCTGTGAGACCTGCTCTTGGAGGCAAATTTTCGATGGCTGCCAGGGAGCCGGGGTAGAAGGTAGGCAGGGGGCAAAGTGGTACCTGTAAATGTTCCCCAATCTTCTTCCTGTGGGAGGTGCCTGGCGCCACTGGCCATGCAAGAGCTGTGTCCCGGGGCAGTACTCCCCTTCTACAGCAGGGGGAGCCAGACACCCACACAGCGTCTGGAATCCCACAGGGGGATGGGTGGGGAGGGTAGGGAAGGGAAGACTGAAGTCCTGCCCCTGCCCGCACAGGCACCCAGGTCGGCTGCCCAACAGACATGCACCTGGGCTAGGGACACAGGCTCCCGCCTGGACTCCTGGGGTTTGGCTGAATTTGTATGTGTTTGGGTAGTTAAAGCCCATTTCCTACAGGTCTGGTCTTAAAGTTAGGTCTAAGTCCAGGAAATTAAGTCTGTGTGAAAGACAGCTGGGCCAACTCTCCTGAAAAGGGAATATGCTTCGACCCTACGCTGTGCTAGGGCTCAAAGCCACCAAGTGGTCCCATCAAATGGAGACGACGCTGTCCCAACAGTGCAAACAAAACACCGTGTCCCGGACCCGGGTTCACAGACCCTATTTCTCCTACGGCGGACTGCGCGTGAAGTGCGGGACACCAAGGGCCAACCGTGGGTCCTGCCCAGCCTATGCCTCCGGAGGGAAGAGTAGAGTACTGGGAGGGCAGCTCCTTAGGGAGCCCGAGGAAGCCCCTGACCCTGACTGCTCAGGCGGGTGCCCGAGGGTGCCCTTCCTTCTGACCCAACCCGCCTCACTGGGGTCAGCAGCCCAGAGCAGCCCAGCTCCCGGGGGACTGGCTCAGGAATGGGACTCTGACAGTGAAGGGCTCGGGCCTGTGTGCCAGAGAAAGCAGACCCAGGACGGTACCGGGCAGCAAGCACACATGCTCCAGAAGAAGCAGAGATGAGCGCAAGAGCCGAGGGGCAGCCGGGGCCTGGGGCCACCGAGAACTCAGCCTGCAGCTCTGACTCTGCAGGGAGTCACTGGTGCTCAGAAATTAAAGGCCATGCTCTTCCTGCTCGCTCCACACCCGTCTTTCGGACACTCAGGTCCCTGCCTGCCTCGGCTCTGTCCTCACCACCCAGCAGACTTGTGTGCTGCCGGAGGAGGGAGAGAACGGCCTTCCTCCCGCACAGGCCCAGCAAGTCCTTCCTCTCACTCGAGGCCACACACAGCCAGACAGGGACAGGATTTAAAAATCTCAAGTCCAATGCAACAGACTGTTTCAGAACCAGCCAGAGCGGCTGGCCCCTGAGCCTATGAGCCTCGCTTCAGGACATTGGCACCAAAACGGTGTGCTGCCCTGCGTGCCATTAACTGAGCCCCGTCCAGCGGGCACTAAGCTCACAGCCACCTCCGAAACCCTAGACGAGGAGTCAGGGATCCTCTAGAAAGCTAAATTCCCTTTCTTTATTAAAATAAATTTCTTCAGCTGAAACTAAAGGGAAAAAAGAGAAAACGAGGAGGAGACAAGAATGAGCGATCCAGCTTAGATGAAGTCCTTGGATTAGCTCTCCGCCTTCCACTTCCAATCTCTCAAACCAATGTGCACAAGGGACAGTATCTCCACTGCCAATGGCCTGCTCAATGCCAGTGTCTTCCCCTCTTCCCCCATGTCTAAGGCCAGGAGGGTGGTCCCTGGGCTGTGCAGGGCCATAGTGTCCTCCCCTCTGCTCCCATGTCTAAGCCAGGAGGGTGGTCCCTGGGCTGTGCAGGGCTGCAGTGTCCTCCCCTCTGCCCCCACGTCTAAGGCCAGGAGGGTGGTCCGTTGTGCAGGGCCGCGCTGTCCTCCCCTCTGCCCCCATGTCTAAGGCCAGGAGGGTAGTCCCCGGCCTGTGCAGGGCCATGGTGTCCTCCCCTCTGCCCCCATGTCTAAGGCCAGGAGGGTGGTCACTGGGCTGTGCAGGGCCATAGTGTCCTCCCCTCTGCTCCCATGTCTAAGCCAGGAGGGTGGTCCCTGGGCTGTGCAGGGCTGCAGTGTCCTCCCTCTGCCCTCACGTCTAAGGCCAGGAGGGTGGTCTGTTGTGCAGGGCCACGCTGTCCTCCCCTCTGCCCCCATGTCTAAGGCCAGGAGGGTGGTCCCCGGGCTGTGCAGGGCCATGGTGTCCTCCCCTCTGCCCCCATGTCTAAGGTCAGGAGGGTGGTCCCCGGGCTGTGCAGGGCCATGGTGTCCTCCCCTCTGCCCCCATGTCTAAGGTCAGGAAGGTGGTTCCTGGGGTGTGCAGGTGGTACATCCATGTGATGTCAGCCCCAGAAACTTGTTGCACTCACGCATGGAACTTGGGGGGGTGGGGCACAGTTAGGAGCCCAGGTTTTGTTCTGACCTTCACTGGACTCCTCTTCCTCCTCCTCATAGTCCTCCTCCTCCTCCTCTTCCTCCTCCTCCTCCTCTTCCTCCTCCTCCTCCTCTTCATTCCCAGGCCCAAAGATCTTTGAGGCCTCTAGCTCCTCTTCACTCTTCCCTTTCAGAAGGGCGTGGATCCGCACAGCCTCCTTCCATGGAACGCCGCCCAGGTCAGAGGGGGGCAGGCGAGGCTCCTCCTCCTCCTCCTCTTCCTCCTCCTCCATCTCAGACTCGGAACTGCTGTGAGAAAATAAACACACAGCCAGAGTGAGGGAATGAAGGAAAACTGAGAAGGGGAAGGGGAAGGGCCACCATCAGAAGCAATGCGTCCCAGGCAAAGCACCTGCTGAGCAGGCGGAGAGAGAGCAGGGAGGAGTGCCATCAGCAGGACAGGGTACCTGGGCAAGAGGTGCCACCTACCCAAGCCCACCTAAGGGGACAAAGGGAAGAATGCTCCTGCTCACTGACCTTGAGCCCTTCTCTGCAGGTGGATGGGGCAGGGAGGGGACACCCAAGGGCTGCCTGTGGGTCTGGCCTAGCCTCTGCCCTCGGAGGGGAGCATGCAGAACTGGGAGAGCAGCTCCTTAGGGAGCCTATGGAAGTTCCTAACCATAACCCCTCATCAAGGCGCAGCCCATCCCTCAGGGTGCTTCAACCGAGCAAACATTAAGATCACTGGTTTTGGTTTCATAGAGGCCGTGAGGGCACAAGCAGGGCAGTGGACTGGTTCTGATATAAACCCATGACTCTGGGAATTGAGAATGGAAAGCCTTCTCTCGTGCTGACCTGCTGTCTGGTTAGAGGAACTCAATTCTACGTGGCGGCGGTAGGTCAGAAGGCTCTCAGGAGTGCTGTGGGCGTCATCGGGGGAGGGGAGCCCTGAAAGGCCTGGACTGAACCAGCTGGCGATCAAGGCCCGTGTGCCCATGTGCCGGGGTGGGGCGACAGATTCCATTTCCTGGCGCTCCTCAGAATCCCACCAAGTGCCAACCCCTGAGCGGGACACTGTGGGGCACACCGGGAAATGATGGCAAGGGCACTGCTCACTGCAAAGCCACAGGACAGAGACTATGGGGAAAGGGGGTGGAGGCAACCCTGCAACCCCAGGGTGGTCGCTCTTGCTGGCCGCTGCACTGTCAAGCACTCCTGTCACAGCTGCAGTCAAGCGCGGCCAATACAGGAAACAGCAGGCGTACGAGAACACACACGCCACCACGGACACTACCCAAACCGCAGCTCCCAGCTCTGGCCACCCTCTGCAGCCACGTACCTCACCCCTGCCCTGCAGAGGGACGCAGGACAGGGACAAAACTGGGCCCCTGCAGCCTGTACGGCTGTAATACAGGCAAAAACCCCAGCGTTGCAGCACAAATGGAGATGTGCCTGAGTGTTTCATGGTCTGGTAATTCCCAAAGCAGTTTTTTCAGAAGCGGCCTTGCCTGCAGTGAGAGGCCTGGGGAAATCCGGCTTTCACAGTAAAGCCACGGCCCGACCTCTGGCCCAACAGAGCCCCAAATCCAAGAAGCATCAGGCACGGAGGGGGTATCTGCCCAACCTCCTGCGAGGGTGTGTCCCCTCTCACCCAGGCAGGCTCGCCCACAGCCCACTTGTGTGTGAGAGGGTTAGCCAGTGAATACACCACAATGGGCACTGAGGGCCCCTGCCAGAGCCATCACTGCCAAGTGAAGAATCTCGCCTTGCCAAAGAGAGGACCCCGGCCCTTGTCCTTGGCTTCAAGAAGGTAACCTAGACACACCTGGGATGCCCTGCCTAGAGGGCTGTGACTGTCTGCTGGGGGCCTCGGGTCATGTGACACAACCTAGTTGATTAGGGTGAGACCTCGGGTCGCACTGTGTCCTGTGACCCGGAGACTGAGATCAAGCGTGTGGACAATCAATCATTGCCTGTATAATAAAAACTCTCAACACGGAGTCTCAGGGGAGCAATACTCCCGGCGTATTGTCACACATGGGTAACAATACAGTACGGCTGTCCTGGCCCCACGGTGAGCACAGTGGGCACGGTGGAAGCTGAGTCTGGTTCTTTCCTGGACTCACCGTGTATCCTTCCTCCCTTGGCTCACTGGCATCTGTGCCCTTTCCCTGTAAGGAGCCACAGCCATGAGTACAACAGCTTTCAGTGAGCTCTGTGAGTCCCAGCAAATCATCAAACCTGCAGGTGATTCTGGGAGACTCTGGAATTTGCCACTGGGGTCAGAAGTGGGGCAGTCTTGTGGGCTGTGCCCCCTTTTTGTTGGCTAATTTCCCACTCTGCCACACCAGCTCTCTTCCTGGCTGGCTGTGTGACTGTGGGTTGATTATTTGTGCTCTCTGAGTTTGCTCAGTGACACGTTCATTCACTCACCCGGAGAACATTTCTGAGCTCAGCCAGTGGACACAGGGATAAAAATAGCTGGTTGCTTAGTACAAGGAGCGCAGGGCAGTGAGCCCGGCCTCAGCCGTTCATTCACCTGAATACAACTTATTTGATTATCTTCTCCTTACAATGCACTTGCTAGACGTTGTAGGGAACACAGAGGTGACATAGGAAAGACCCTATGCTCAGCTGGGCCCAGTGGCTCTGGCATCTGTGATCCCAGCACTGGGGGAGGCTGAGGCAGGTGGATCATTTGAGCCCAGGAGTTTGAGACCATCCTGGGCAACCACAGGGAGACCCTGTCTCTACAAAAAAAAGAGAGATAAAAGTAAAATAACAAAAGCTCCTCAAGGGGAGGAGAGGTGCACGCACACCATGCTAAAGCACAGAATACAGGCAGGGTGGGCAGAGGGCAGGAGGAGGGCTAAGGCGGGCAGACCTAAGAATCTGGGCCACAGAAAACCTGGCGTCTGGATTTTGATTAGTTTCAGCATTACCTTCACTGGTATTCCTTTTGCCTTACGTTTGTGTTTTCTTTAATTTACTTTCTTCTTCTTTTTGTTTTTTTAGATGGAGTCTTACTCTGGCAGGCTGGAGTGCAGTGGCGCAATCTCTGCTCACTGCAACTTCTGCCTTCCGGATTCAAGCGATTCTCCTGCTTCAGCCTCCCGAGTAGCTGGGACTACAGGCGTGCCACCATGTCCAGCTAATTTTTTTGGTATTTTTAGTAGAGACGGGGTTTCACCGTGTTGGTCAGGATGGTCTCGATCTCTTGATCCACCCACCTCGGCCTCCCAAAGTGCTGGGATTACAGGTGTGAGCCACTGTGCCCAGCCTAATTTACTTTCTTATTAATGAACAATGATATGTAACCTAGTACATGTCATTTGACATTGTTTGTGCTGGGCGTAGTGGCTCATGCCTGTAATCCAAGCACTTTGGAGGCCATGGCAGGTGGATCACCTGAGGTTGGGAGTTCAAGACCAGCCTGACCAACATGGCGAAACCCTGTCTTTAAAAAAAAAAATGGAAAAAAAGAAAAAAGAAAGACATCGTTTGAACATAAAATAAGGCTAAGGACGCATCTACGCTCATCTTAAATCTTCACAGAGGCCCCCCAGTTCCTCTGTCCCAGCTGAGCAGCTGGGGCCTGTGCAAGGCTGCCCAGCAGTTGGCAGCAGGGTGGGGCCACGCTGCAGCTCCCTGGGAGGGGGCCTCAGTGCAGGCCTGTCCTCATCCTGCGCCATGTCATCAGGATGGCTGCACAGGCACAATGTGGGCACTGAATAAATGCCCTGAGATGAGGACAGCTCACAGCTGTTAGTGTCACATCAGCTGGTTTCACAACAGCTGAAGGACCATGGGAGCACAGAAAAGAGCAGAAAACAACCCTCACCTCTGTGCATCAGCCGCAAACCCAGCCCACCTCCCAGAGACCTTGCTGCTTGCTACTGCAGCTCCCAGACAGGTCACCCTCTCTTTGTGGACACAGAGAAGGCTGGCAGGGGCTGCCAACGCTGTTCCAGTCCTCATTTTCGCAGGACTGGGCAGTCTCTGGGTCTGTCTAGGTCCTGTGCATCACGCCCAAGACTCGCAGTGTGGATTTAGTACCCTGAGGCTCCCAGCACCTGCGTCTCTGGAGGAAGGATGCAGAGGAGGGAGAAAGTTGCAGTGCGCCTGACCCTCTGGACTCCAGCCTGGAAACTTCTTAAGCACAGAGAATCACTATGCCAGAACAAATGCAACACAGACAACCAACTTCTCCCTTCCTCTGGGGAGAGGGTGACTTCAAAAGACTGCCTCCCAGGAGAGACGGGGTCAGCAGATCTAGTCATCAGGATCACCTTTCCCTCCTCACAGGACTGGTGCTGGTGAGAACGTATTGTTCTGAGAGATTGTTTGATTCGGGTCTGCCTTCCTGGGGCCACACTCTCTCTCCAAGGGCAGGTGTCGGGTCACCACCATGCTCCTCATAGGGCCAAGCATGGCCGAGACAGCAGGAATGTGCCAGGGGCTGCAGTGAAAGCCAGGGCAGGGTTACGTTACTTTCAGAGGTGTCAGAGGTTGTACCACGACTGTCCCCTGGTAAAGCCTCCATCAGAAGGTGCTGGCCCTTCCAGTTAGAAGAGTGTCCAGCAAAAAGCCTCCCTGCTTCAGTTTATACCCAGCTACTCAATTCAAAGCACCTGCCCTGAATCTGCCCCCGCAGCTGTCTTCCCACTAAGACACTGACGGGTCTAGCATGGGAAAGAAAACCAATGGGCATGTGCACGTGATTTTTGCTCCACTTAATGTGTTCTGCAGCCCTCTGCTGTGTCAAGAGGGGCAGATCCGAGGGTGACAGTGATGGACGGAGGGAGCCCTGACCGCGTACCCGTAGCACAAGGTGGTTCTCGTGGGTAGCTCATTGAATCGCACAACTGCTCTAGGACTCAGCTGCCCTGCTTTTGTAAAGAATGAGACTGAACCCTAAGGAAGTTGGATCATTTGCATAAGGCGATGCTGGGATTCCCACCAGGGTCCATGGATTATGAGACTCACCAGGTGTCATGCTGTGCCCTCCTGGGTGGTTCTACCACAACCACCTGCCAGGATGACAAGACCAGGAAGAAGGTCTCGATCAAGCTCCCGGCTGCCCGGATGCGGCCTGACAAGGGCAGACCAGGAATTCAAGCAGACCCTACCATGAATGAGGCAGGCTGCTGCCAGGAACCACTGGAAGTTCCTGGGTGGTTTTCAAAGGGCAGTGGCAAACCATGGTCTTCACTTTTAAATTAACCCACTCATAATCAGAAGGACTCTAACATCCTCTGTCCTGCTAGGCTGCACCCCTAGGTACCCTTCCCTGACAGCCGAGCAGGCAG